CTGGCTCTTGTGTAAGAACCCTGACTGTGCAGCCTTTTTATTTCTACCGTGTGTTGGGGAAGAGTTGGGAGGAGTTGGGGAGTTAGTGTAGGGGCTGTTTCTATGGCTTTCTTTAGAGAACAAATGGTAGAATGGGGGAAGGATTTGGGTCTATGGGGTCAGCTAGGTTTCCTTTTGTAAGGAAGTGGTTTGGTTAGGAGAGCAAAACCTCCTGGTATCCAGAGGTGAAAGTATCCTGGGAAAGGGTTTGACTGAAGTAATGAGGGCTATCTCGAAAACCTTGGGGAAGAACGGTCCAAGTTAACTGCTGGGACTGGTGGGTGTCAGGTCAGTCCAAGTAAAGGCGAAAAGAGGCTGAGAGGAGGGGTGTAAGGGGATGGTAAAAAAGGCGTCTTTCAGGTCAAGAACAGAATAGTGAGTTGTGGAAGCGGGTATGGAAGGAAGGAGGGTATAGGTGTTTGGTACTATGGGATGGATGGGGGAGTAAAATCTGATTGATGAGGTGGGATTTGTCTAGTTTTTGGACAGCTAAGATAGGGAAATTGTATAGAGTCTGTAGGAATTAAAAAGGCCATGTTGTAATGGTTGGGTGATAACAGGCTTTAGGCCTTCTAAAGCCTGTTGTGGGATGGGGTACTGGTGCTGGGCGGGGTAAGGGTGGTTAGGTTTTAATGGGATGATAAGAGGTGCATGGTCATTTTGACAGGGATGGGGTGGATGTGTCCCATACCTTTGGGTTGAGGTAAGGAGATGTGATGGGGGGTTGTGAGGGAGATTTAGAATTGGGTAGTAGGGTGGCAATGAGGTGTGGCTTAGTCCAGGAATAGCTAAGGAGGCAGACAATTTTGCTAGGATATCGTGGCCTAACAGGGGAACTAGACAAGTGGGGATGATTAGGAAAGAACGTGGAAAGGAATGCTGGCCTAATTGACACCAGACTTGGGGAGTTTTGAGAGGCCTGGAGGCCTTGCCGTTAATTCTCACAACAGTTATGGAGGCCAAGGAGACAGGTCCTTGAAAAGAAGGCAGCATGGGGTGGGTGGCCTCTGTGTTGATTAAGAAGGGGATGGACTTACCCTCCACTGTAAGAGTTACCCAAAGCTTGGCATCCATCATGGTCCTGGAGGCCTCCAAGATGTTCGGGCAGCGTCAGTCTTCAGCTGCCAAGCCGAGGAGATCTGGGAAGCATTCGGTCTAGGAGCTTCCATTTGGAGCTCTGGGATCAGCGACATGAGTTAGACAGTCCGACTTTCAATGGGGGCTCCACACAGACAAGGCAGGGCTTAGGAGGAATCCCGGGCTATGGGCATCCCTTGGCCCAGTGGCCAGGTTTCCAACAACTGAAGCAAGGTCCAGGAGGGGTGGCTGGATGCTGCAGTCTGGGCACTTTGAAGTCTGTGAGCTGGTGGTGTGGCTGGGGTCTGACTGACGGCAGAGGCAAGCATTCATGGTTGTGAGATGCGCTGCTGCTGGGCAGCTTTTTTCCTATTATTATTATTTTTTTATGGTTTGCATGTCATATATATATATATATATATATATATATATTTTTTTTTTTTTTTTTTTAATTGCATTTTATGTTTTGGGGAAGGCTAGGTTGATTGATTCCTGTTGTGGGGTTTGAAGGCCAGATTCTAATTTCTATGGCTTGTTGTAATGTTAGGGGCTGATTGGGTGATAAAATGCATATTGCACATTTTTAAGGGGTGAGAATAGAAGGATAACATTTAAGTTACTCCAGGTGAGATTATAGGACTGGGATAAGTATTGGGACTTCGGTATATATTTAGTAGGATCTGATGAAAAGGAGCCTAACTGTTGGCCGATTTGAGAAAGGTTGGATAAAGAGAAAGGAACGTGTACCCTAACTGTGCCTTTGGCTCCAGCCACCTCTCGAAGGGGCAATTGTTGGGCAGGGGTGGAGGAGTTAGCCATGGGACTAAACTGTAAACAGGATGGGGTATGAGGCGGGAAGGTGACAGGAGGGGAATAAGGAGGTGGGTTGTGGGCAGAGGAAGAGGAGGGAGGCTTTCTGAATGGGGGAGGGGTTAGGGCCTGGATTAGGGTCTAGTTCAGATAGGCGGGGAGGAGAAAGGTTGGAAGGGTTTATGGCCAAGGAAAATTCTGAGTCACTGGCGTCAGCAGGAGGGGCGGACGGAAGGGAGAGAAGGAGCAGAGATTAGGAAGGGATTGGAGTGTAAAGAAATGCCTGGACATATGACACTTCAGACCATTTGCCCATTCACTGACAAAAATTGTCTAGGTCTCGCAGAACAGAAAAAGTAAAGTGCTGTTTTCTGGCCACTTGGAACCATTGTTTAATTTGTATTGAGGCCAGGCCATGTTACAGAAAAAATGAGACCTATAGGTTTCGGATTGGGTGACAGTTGAAGAGGTTTTAGGTTTTTTTCAGAGGCAGGCTAGAGGTGAAGCCTGAGGAATAGAGGGTGGAATATTGCCCATAATGAAGGAGGTAAGTTTTCAGGAGAGAAGTAGAGACGAGAATGAGAGCAGCTACCCTGGTTTTCAGCAGGTGTCCCTGACTGCGTCCTGGGCTGTAAGGTGTTTGAGTGATCAAGGCAGGCGTCCCCCGCTGTTGACCAGACACCAAGGGAAGACTGTCTTCCTAAGTCCGTCACCAATGATGGAGTTTTTGAGCGGGAGGGAGAGGCTTGTTTCCTCTGTCTCTATACAGATAGAGTGTCTCCTTTGTCTCTACTTAGAATGAGAAAGATTTAAAGGAAAAGAGAGTGGGAGAGACTTGTCTCCTTTTGTCTACCTAGAAGAAGGATTTAAATGAGAAAGAGGGAGAGACTTGTCTCTTTTTCTCCAAAGGAAAAGAGAGAGAAAGAGGAAGAGACTGCTTACCCGATCTGAAGGTGGTGAGAGGGTTGTTGGGCTGGTCTGTTGTGCTGAGGTTGCAGGTGGGTCTCTTCACAGAGAGAGAGTGGGGATAGGGGGTTGGTCTCCCAAAGGAGTACCCCTGTCCTGGGTCTCAGCACCAAATGTTAGGTACACTCTGAATGAAGAGACCCCTAAACAGGCTTTGTGTGAGCAACATGGCTGTTTATTCACCTGGGTGTAGGCGGGCTGAGTCTGAGGAGTCAGTGGAGAGTGGTGGGATAGGAGTTGGTTTTATAGGTTTGGGGTAGGCAGTGAAAAGTTAGAGAAGTTACAGTTCAGGGTGGTTTTTGCAAGCTGGAAGTGGGTCATAAGATCTGGAGGTTGACCTATCAGTTGAGCAAGGTCAGTTACAAAGTCCAATTGCCTTATCAGTTGAGGTGGGAATAAGAAGCAATAGAAGAATGTCTCAAAGTTAATTAGGTGCTGCAGGGATTGGTCATTCTTCTCCTTTGGTGGTTTCCCAGTTACTTCAGACTTTCTAGTTCCGGGAACTCATCTGGAGGTGTACGTGCAGGTCACAGAGGTTACCATGCTGTCCATGGCACAGTCAGCCTAAAAGACTTTACCCTTGTTAGCAGCAGTGACCAACTAGGCAAGTCCACACCCGCGAGAGACCAGCCCACGTCTGGTGGCAGGTTGATCATATCTGACCCTCTTCTATCACAGAGGAAGCAGCAATTTGTCCTTCCTGTGTAGGACACACCTTGAAATTGTATTTGTTTTGTATTTCTCCAAACTTTTACCACCACCACCATTCATGTACTAAATGCTTTTTACATTGTTATGCTATCCCATGGATACTGCTTCTGGTCATGAAACTCACTTTATGGTGAAAACAGGGCAGGTATGTCAGCTCAGTGATGCCATCAAAGAACTGAGAAAGTACAGTGGCTGGTGTTACTTCTCAGTTTTATACCAGTGATCCATAAAGTGTTTGCTTCTATCCCCTAGGATTCTGAGGTTTGCTGGTTTAGAGATAATTGAATGACAAATGCTTCTACCCAGTGGTTTGGAAGGGAAGGGTTATGATGCTGGCTGAGTAAATTGATCCTAATGAAGGACTATAGAGGTGGTGCTACACACCGGGGGATGGAGAAAGTATGGATAGACTTTTGTGGATAACATTGGCTAATGACAATATTTAATGGGAGGCTTCTGCAACCTTAGACAGGCAGGCCTACCCATGGTTCACATGGGATAGCCCAAAACCTTCATTCCTATCTTTTTTTAGTTGGAGTCTTGCTGTCGCCCAGGCTGGAGTGCAGTGGTGTGATCTTAGCTCACTGCAATCTCCACCTCCTGAGCTCAAGCAGTTCTCCTGCTTCAGTCTCTCAAATAGCCTCAACCTCCTGGGATCAAGTGATTTTCCTGCCTCAGCCTCCCAGGTAGCTGGGACTAGATGCACACCATCATGCATGGCTAATTTTTTTTTTTTTTTTTTTTTTTTTTTTTGAGACGGCGTTTTGCTCTTGTTACCCAGGCTGGAGTGCAATGGCGCGATCTTGGCTCACTGCAACCTCCGCCTCCTGGGTTCAGGCAATTCTCCTGCCTCAGCCTCCTGAGTAGCTGGGATTACAGGCACGTGCCACCATGTCCAGCTAATTTTTTGTATTTTTAGTAGAGACGGGGTTTCACCATGTTGACCGGGATGGTCTCGATCTCTCGACCTCGTGATCCACCCACCTCAGCCTCCCAAAGTGCTGGGATTACAGGCTTGAGCCACCGTGCCCGGCTATTTTTTTTTTTTTTTTTTTAAAAGAGGTGGAGTCTCACTATGTTGCCCAGACTTATTTGTGTATTTAACTAATGTTTTCTTTTGTGCTTTTTCTTTACCCCATTACTACACAGATATCAGATACACAGATTGTGTTGATAGTGGCTAATGTTACAATTTAGTTTATAGATGAGAGAATATCAAGATAAAATAACTGGAACTAGGAGAGGAATGGATGATATTTAAATATCTTGGGCTTGGAGCCAGATGTAGCATATTAGGGGGATGTGAGTTCATTTCTGGTTGAGTGGATAATTAAATGTATTGGAATTATGTGTAAATTTTGCACTTTTTGATATAAGAACAACAGATAATAGTATCTGTAGGTAATAGAATATTTTATTTCAAAAACAGTGAAGAAGCTGCTAAGCATAAAATTTGTCATATGCTACCAAGATGTTGAATGTGCAACTGTGAATGCCAAGAAATTTAATTTCATTCTTTATTATCTTTTCCTCAAAGGAAATAAAATATAGAATCTGTTATAAATGTCCCAATTTATACTACAGTATTAATCTCAATCCTGATCATTACATAATTATAGCATTTACCAATCTGATTTTATAAATCAACCAAATTTGTTAAATTAAGAAGAAATTTACAGATGCCATTTTTCCCTGTTACAACATATGGACAAGCCATCAAAAACAAAACAAAACCCCAAAACAAGTGTATTTTATGCTAAAGTTACTTTCTGTCCAGGTCGAAACATTGTTCCACTTTGATTTTTCCTCTTCTTTGGATTTTGAAAGCTTTCATATCTGAAAAGAGATAATTTAATATGTGTAAATAGTACAATTACAAAAGATAATGGATTGTTTGCAAACTCATTATATTTTAAGAAATGAATGGGAAATAACTAGAAAAAAAAATGCCAGAAACAGAAATTAAAAGAATTTTTACAAATAAAGCTGCACTACAATAGAAAATGGAACAAAGGGGATGAAAAGACAGATTAGAAAAGATAAAATACTAAGGACAATGAATATAAAAAAATTACAACCTCTACACTTTTAACCAAAGAAATGTAAATTATTAAGATATGATTTTTCTCCAATCAAAAGGGCAAAGTTTAGAAAAATACTGCAACACACAGTATTAGTAGTGATGGTGCAGTGTATCTGGCATTCTCACATACTGCTGTTGAAATATATATTGTACAGTATTTCTGGAAGGCAATTTGGCAATACATTTCAAAAGCCTTAAATGTGAGCTCCCTGTTATGTAACAATTCCACCTCTATACCAGTGAAACAATGAGATATGTGCATAGATTCAGAGCTGCAAGAATGTGGATTGCCTGGGAGCTATTTAAATATCTAAAAATTGGATATTGTAGCATAGCTACACCATAAAATATTATTATTTTTTTTTTGAGACGGAGTTTCGCTCTTGTTACCCAGGCTGGAGTGCAATGGCGCGATCTCGGCTCACCACAACCTCCGCCTGCTGGGTTCAGGCAATTCTCCTGCCTCAGCCTCCTGAGTAGCTGGGATTACAGGCACGTGCCACCATGCCCAGCTAATGTTTTGTATTTTTAGTAGAGACGGGGTTTCACCATGTTGACCAGGATGGTCTCGATCTCTTGACCTCGTGATCCACCCGCCTCGGCCTCCCAAAGTGCTGGGATTACAGGCTTGAGCCACCGTGCCCAGCTCATAAAATATTTTAAAACAAACACTTAAAATGTAAAACAATTTTCAGGATGTATATGGGTAAAGGGGGACTGCTATATAGCAATAGGTACAAGAGTATTCTTATCATAATAGGAAACAGGGCTGGGCCTGGTGGCTCAGGCCTGTAATCCTAGCACTTTGGGAGGCCGAGGTGGGTGGATCACCTGAGGTCAGGAGTTCAAGACCAGCCTGGCCATTATGGTGAAACCCCATCTTAAAAAAAAAAAAGGGAAACAGTATGTAAGCATGTAAACAAATGCTTTGGGAGGTGGTGGAGTTAGGCAAAATTTGTTTCCTCATTTTTCCTTCTGTTTTCTGATTTCTATAATAAATACATAGAACTAATGTATGTATACATACATAGTGCGAAGTACTGCAAAATTAGTTAACAAAGGGCGGCAGCAGCTTCTGAAGACCAGGAATAAACATCTCTTAAATTGAATTACACTGAATCATTGACCTAGAATGATTCCCAGTCATGGGTCTCAGATTCATAAGTGGCCATAAACTCAATTGCAAGAATCTTATAAATCCAATGTATAACAAATACGGCTGGCAAATGAATAAATCTGAATGTATTTAAATGTTGTAGAGATTAATATAAATTATTAAGGCAAAACAAGTATTTTATAACAAATTTTTACAAATTATATATTAGAATCACTTTGAACTTAAGACGGAGTTTTCCTATTCTTGCCTAGGCTGGAGTACAATGGCACTTGGCTCACCACAACCTCTGCCTCCTGGGTTCAAGCAATTCTCCTGCCTTAGCCTCCCAAGTCACTGGGATTACAGGTATGTGCCACCATGCGTGGCTAATTTTGTATTTTTAGTAGAGATGGGGTTTCTCCACGTTGATGAGGCTGGTCTAGAACTCCCAACCTCAGGTGATCCATCTGCCTCCCAAAGTGTTGGGATTAAAGGCATGAGCCACCATGCCTGGCCACTTTGAATTTTTAATTTTCCTTCTAATTTCTTCAAAGTTACTATTCTTAAAAAATTGATGGAGTCTTGCTCTGTTGTCCAGGATGGAGTGCAGTGGTGCGGTCTCATCTCACTGCAACCTCCGCCTCCCAAGTAACTGGGAATATGGGTACATGCCACCACAGCTGGCTAATTTTTGTATTTTTAGTAGAGGTGGCATTTCACTGTACTGGCCAGGATGGTCTTGAACTCCTCACCTCGGGTGATTCATTCACCTCAGCCTCCCAAAGTGTTGGAATTACAGGTGTGAGCCACTGTACCCAGCCTAAAGTTACTAAAATTAAATGAGCATTATGAATAATTCAAATATAATCAAATGAACTGGTTAATGAAAACTCAATTTTGACTTCTGTACTTCTGACATTTTGGGATTTTTAAATGCATAGCTACCACACAGACTTTTTTGAATTGGCTTTTAAATATTCAAAATATTACTTTTTATTCTAAACAAGAACTTAAAATTTTAAGTGTATTACTATGTGACTTGTAATAGTAGCTATACTTCCAAATCAGAATCTGTTACTTACAGTTCAGCAAAATTCTTCCAGTCATCTTCACTAATGGATGGTCTTGTGTGGCCAAGTGCAGTCATTAAATGCGACTGATTAATAGCCAGTCTGGTTTTGATTGGTCCTGGTTGGTTAATGGATTCATCCTCCTTAAGTAATAAAAGAAATTGACAAAGAGTTAACTTAGGGATGTAAAGAAAAATGTGAGTCCAATTGTTATTTATTTTGGTCAGTTTTTCAAGAGATTATATATCCTCTTCCTTCTAACGAAACATCGAAAGCAAGAAAGTACATAACCATTTGAGTTACTGTGTTCTGGTCAAATCAAAGAGATACTATCAAAAAAGGGAGAAACAATCTTTAAGAAGTTTTAAAAATTATAATGAGGAGGAAAAAAGTCATACTCCACTTTGGCTCCGGTATCTGCCTTTAATAATGCTGATATCTGCCCTCAGTTGATCTCTTTGTTCTTGTGTAAGTTCTTGGCAACCCTCTTGTGAAGCTGTCCTCAACACTGGAGGCTGTGAAAACAACTGGTCTTTCCCAGGAACTCCGGGCAAATCCTGAGTCACAGAGCTTGGTGCAGAGAGACACTGTGAGCTCTGCATAGTAAATTGCAGTCATGAAAGATGGAAGTAGGGGAGAGAAAAAACTGTGTTTACCAAAGATAAAAATTAAACATTTTAAGCAATAAAACATTAACACAGATAAGTATACATGTTAGTTAACTGAAGTGAAGCAAGTTGAAAAGTTGTTCATATTCTATAAAGATTCATTGATATCTATGATATAGAACCACCATAGAGTGAAGACTGCCACAACACAAGGTAGGTTTTTTTTAATGCTTTGTTGCTTAAATCCAACACACTAATGCCCAAGGACAGGTTTCTTCGTTTTCGGAAAACAAATTTTCAGAAAACAAAGCTTCTGGGACATTTCTAATAGAAGAAATAAATAGAACTAAAGACTAAAATTAAAACACCACCTTACTATTTTTGGGACTAAAAATGGGTCATATATATATATATATATATATTTTTTTTTTTTTTTTTTTTTTTTTTTTTTTGAGACGGAGTTTTGCTCTTGTTACCCAGGCTGGATTGCACTGGCGCGATCTCGGCTCACCGCAACCTCCGCCTCCTGGGTTCAGGCAATTCTCCTGCCTCAGCCTCCTGAGTAGCTGGGATTACAGGCACATGCCACCATGCCCAGCTAAATTTTTTGTATTTTTAGTAGAGGCGGGGTTTCACCATGTTGACCGGGATGGTCTCGATCTCTTGACCTCATGATCCACCCACCTCGGCCTCCCAAAGTGCTGGGATTACAGGCTTGAGCCACCGCGCCCGGCCCATTTTTATATTTTTAAAGTCTTAGTTAGGCTGGGCATCGTGGCTCACACCTGTCATCCTAGCACTTTGGGAGCTCAAGGCAGGCAAACTGCTTGAGCCCATGAGTTTGAGACCAGCCTGGGCAACAGAGTAAAACCTTGCCTCTACAAAAAATACAAAAATTAGCTGGGCATGGTGGCATGTGTCTGTAGTCCCAGCTACTCAGGAGAGGTGGGAGGATCACCTAAGCGCAGGAGGTCAAGGCTGCAGTGAGCCATAATTGTGCCACTGCACTCTAGTTTGGGTGACAGAGTGAGATTCTGTCTCAAAAAAAAAAAAAAAAAAAAAAAAGCCTGAATAAAGCAAATGTACGAAAACACAGGAAACATAACCAAATATATGTACAAATCTTACATGTACCAATAAAATTACAGTGAACCACTATCAGTTTTGAGAAGAGATGTTGAATGCTAGCAGAGTAACAGTGATACTGCCCACATTTAATCAAAACACTTTCCTGTTGAAACATTATTAGTACACTTCACTGTGCTTATACTTTGCAGCAAAAGTATCACAGATAACATTTTGTTTTCAGGAATTTTTGACATTATTGTATCAAATTACTCATTATCCTCAACTGTTTGTGATAATAAAATTTAAGTTTACTATTAAATGGAACTCCTCCTAAAGACATTTAAAACCACTAGGTAAGAGAGATGAACCTGAGGGCCAGGCGCAATGGCTCATGCCTGCAATTCTAGCACTTTGGGAGGTTGAGGCGGGTGGATCATGAGGTCATGAGATTGAGACCATCTTGGCTAGCATGGTGAAACCCCGTCTCTACTAAAAATACAAAAATTAGCTGGGTGTGGTGGCTCACGCCTGTAATCCCAGCACTTTGGGAGGCCAAGGCAAGCGGATCATGAGGTCAGGAGTTCAAGACCAGCCTGACCAACACGGTGAAACCTTCTCTACTAAAAATACAAAAATTAGCCAGGTGTGGTGGCGTGTACCTGTAATCCCATAATCCCAGCTACTGAAGAGGCTGAGGCAGGAGAACCACTTGGACCTGGGAGTTGGAGGCTGAGCATGGTTGCACCACTGCACTCTAACTTGGGTGAAAGAGTAAGACTCCATCTCAAAAAAAAAAAAAAAGATAAACCTGAAAGAAAGCAAAGGTAAGTAATCACAAGCATGCGCTACTTTGGTTCCTTGCTTCCAGCTCTCTCTTAAAAATCTTAACAAGGAATGAAAATTACCGATTAGTATAGGTAAGAAAACAAGACTATCTTACTGAGGAACCAACCAACCAGGAAGAATATGAAGGGCTGGTTAAGACAGAAATCACTCCAATTTTATAACATACAGCTTTATGTTTTAGAACTATATAATGATGACTGCACAAGATACCAGATCAGAAGAGGTTCCATTTCCAAGTTCCGATTCATAAGAGCTTCCAAAGTAGAGCCGGTACATGTTGAATTTTGATTCATCTGGAAGGATCTCGGACATCTCTAAAGAAACAAGAGATTGATCTAAGCCACATTCTCCATCTCCAGCTGAATCGTCAGAGCCACTGCTATGGTTAAGAAAGACCATTGAAGACAGACTTAGGTCACTATCAGAGCTGGAACTTCCATCCTAAAATACACAAAAGGACAACCAGTTTAAAGATGTAAACAATTTTAGTCTCAGAAATAACAACATAGATAGCATTCTAATAGAGCAATACAAGAAACCTGAAGCATTTTTTCAAAAAGCTCATTAATTCTCTAACGGTTTTGAGGCACATGGTAAAAATTTAACTATTAAAATGTAAAGACAAGACAGAATTTGTAGATAATTTAACACCCACTACCCCCGCCCCTGCAAGCCAGAAAGTCTAATGAAGCTAACACTCAGACCCTCTGGGTTTTATTTTTATGTCTCTGACTTTCCATTCGTACTTTTCCACTCCAAAATGATGAATGAACCATGTTATAGAGTGCTTTCTCCTTATAGCAAGCTCTACAAATATACACCTTTCTTTGTAGTAAAGGGAGGGAGGAGAACTTCAATGGCTTGCCAAAATAAATAACAAAAATTTGGGGAGTATCCGATTTAGAAACTAGGCTCTGTTAGACATTCCAACAAAATGTGGTAAGGGTATACAGAATAATCCTTCCTAGAAAATATATGGGAAAGTCTATAACAGTTCAAATTATCTACTGTAAATAATAAAATCATGATACTATCTTTAGAGAAAAGGCTGATGCTAGGGATGGGATACAGAAAGAATAAGATAAACAATTTATTGTTTTTGAGACAGGGTCTCTGTCACTCAGGCTGGAGCGCAATGACACAATCATGGCTCACTGCATCCTGGACTTCCCTGGCTCACGTGATCCTCCTGCCTCAGCTTCTCCCTAGTAACTAGGACTACAGGTATGTGCCACCAAGCCCAGCTAATTTTTAATTTTTTTGTAGAGACAAGATCCCACTCTGTTGCCCATAGTGGGTATAGTTTGTGTGCCCATAGTTTGGTCTCAAAGTGGGCTCAAGCAATCCTCCTGCCTTGGCCTGCCAAAGTGCTGGGATTATGGGCATGAGCCACCACACCTGGCCAAGAATATCTTGTATCTAGAAGTAAGGAAGTGATCCAAGAATGATGAAGACGCGTTATAAGGATACAGGAGCCATACAAAAAGGGCTTCTATTGGCCAGACTGGGACAATTTGAGCTTCAAAATATCAACTTTTACTGATTTTTTAAAAAAACTAAAGTACAAACAAACTAAAAGAGCTAATCATTTTTCTGTTTGTAATGAAGGCTACATGGTATCCCAAATAATATCCTTGTAAACACCAACTTGTTTATTGCCAATTAAGGTAATGTTAAAGAAACAGACACCAAAATCTTCATAATTATAAATTCTCTGCAAACCCATATTCTAACTATGGAACACTCAAATTTAAATTTCTGTACAGTTTTACCAAAGTTGTTTAAAAAATAGCATTTTGCTGAGGAGTTTGAGGTTACAGGAAGAAAGAAGATACAAAAAAGAAAAAAATAGCATTTTTTTAAGGTTGAAATTTTGACACTTCTCTTATCAATCATAAAAATGTCCTAACAGCTTCGTCATATAACTTACCTGGAGTCCACTCGAGAGCAGCCTTCCATGTAAGGCTTCCAACTGAGCATTGTAAAGTAAAGCTTTCAAATCAGCTCCAGTAAAGGAGTCGGTTACTGATGCTATATGCTGAAGGTCAACATCATCTGCCAGAGGTAGAGAGTCACTGAGAACACTTAAAATTTCAAGACGTGATACCTGAAGAGAGAAAAATGTGTTTAACAAAAAATTAAAAATATCTTAAATTGTGTATCTCATGATTTTCTTCCTAAATTAACCTTATACATCTAATAAGTTTTATTAGTAAGCCGAGAAATGTACCAGCAGCCTACTATTTATCTTCCTTGGAACTTTTTCCCCGACAGAAATAATATAGGTAGGAAAACGAATGAAAATCAACATTCTTAAGGCTGGAAACGGTGGCTGACGCCTGACCCCTATAATCCCAATACTTTGGGAGGCTGAGGCGGGAGGATCACATGAGCCCAGGAGTTTAAGGACAGCCTAGGTAACACAGGAGACCCTATCTCTACAAAATAATTAAAAATAAAGTTAGCTGGGCATGGTAGTATGTGCCTGTGGTCCCAGCTACTCAGGAGGCTAAAGTGGGAATACTGGTTGAGCCTGGGACATAGAGGCTGCAGAGAGTTGTGATTGCATCACTGTACTCCAGCCTGGGTGATAAGTGAGACCTTGTCTCAAAAACAAACAAAAAAACCGACAAAATATTCAGTGTAAATAATTTCTTATTCACAGTGCTTATTTTCTAGATTTGGGCAAGTATGCCAAGAAGGTATTTCAAAAGGAAAATTTATAATAAATAGCTATATGTAACTTATATTCAGATACATACTTTTGACTATTCATTTGTCTATGTTCTTTCATTTATTTGTTCGTTTCTAAATTGGAGAACAAGAGTTGGAACAACAGGACTAGGAAGAATTGAAAAACTATGAAACCTGCTTACATGCTTACGATTCACATGCTTGATTCTGTATCAGTTTTTTTTTGACAAGATAATGGAACTATGATCTTTGAACACAAAAGAAGGTGAAAATACAGTACCTTAGGTTTCTTACATTTTTTTCTCCCAATCAGCCAACAAGGAAGGATTACAAAGTTTTCAGACTTGCATGGAAATGGCTGGGTCAAAGAAAGGCTTTGCATCTAATTCAGAATATTTTTTATGCTTTGAGCAAACAGTGGCTAAGGCCTTTGCCTAAGAAAGCTGGTCTTCTAAGGACAATTGCCATTACCTGGCAGAAGTAAAGCTCACAAGGAAAAAGTGTAGCATTTGTTGGGTTTTGGACTCTAATATGAAATTGTCACCTGATCAGGAGGAGGGCAGTATACACATTTATCTAGTCGACCAGGCCTAAGCAGGGCAGGGTCAATCAAGTCAGGGCGACTAGTAGCAGCCAATACATAAACACCTAGAGGAAAAAAGAACATTTTTTTACTAAAATCTGATCACATGATGACATTTTGTCAAAACATATTTCTGTATGTATAATTATTACCCTGTAAGCCTTCTACTCCATCCAACTGAGTCAGCAACTGGTTAACCACTCTGTCTGTAACTCCTGTATTATCATGACCCCTTCGAGGGGCAATGGATTCAAATTCATCAAAGAAAAGAATGCAGGGCTTTGCAGCCTGTGCTCTGGGAAAAACAAACAACATTTCATATTAGAATCGGGCTTCATGGTTTGCAAAGTGATTTGATATATATATGAATGTATTTTATGTATTAATATATATTTATGTACTTGTTTTAATCTTTACAATAAACCTTTGAAGACAAGGTATATGTAATGATGTATAAATATATATAAATGTTATGTGTATATATATTTATCTATTTATTTTAATTTTCACAACAAACCCTTAAGGCAAGGTATGTGTAATTACCCTCGTATTTAGTAAACTGCTGAGGTCAAGGTGTTTATTAAGACCCATGCCTTCTGGATAGACTAACAGGGATCAAAACAAAAACCTGAGTCTTAGTCAATAAGTCAAACACTTCTTTGATTCCTATTACAAGTAACCATTTTTATATTAATATATACTTATTAGCCACCCTTACTTGTTTCTTTTGCCCATTCAAAATTTGGCAAGCTCATTATGTTGGTATTGTTTTTTTTTTTTGAGATGGAGTCTCATTCTGCTGCCAGGCTGGAGTGCAGTGGCACTATCTCAGCTCACTGCAACCTCTGCCTCCCGGGTTTAAGCGATTCCCCTGGCTCAGCCTCCTGAGCAGCTGGGACTCAGGCATGCACCACCAGGCTCGGCTAGTTTTTATATTTTAGTAGAGGCAGGTTTTCACCATGTTGGCCAGGATGGTCTCCATCTCTTGACCTCGTGATCTACCTGCCTTGCCTCGCAAAGTGCTGGGATTACAGGTGTGAGCCACTGTGTCTGGTTGTTGGTACTGCTTTGTAAGCGCTCTCTATAAAATAAATTTGATTTCCCTTTTTTAGTAATTTGAACTTTGACTTTTCGTTTTATTAATTTATTCACATTTTAATTCAAAAAAAAAGTGAACAGCTGATTGCGGTGGCACGTGCCTGTAGTCCCAGCTACTTGGGAGGCTGAGGTGGGAGGATTGCTTGAACCCAGGAGTTCTGGGCTGTAGCGGGTGGATTACAAGGTCAAGAGATCGAGACCATCCTGGTCAACATGGTGAAACCCCGTCTCTACTAAAAAAATACAAAAAATTAGCTGGACATGGTGGCACGTGCCTGTAATCCCAGCTACTCAGGAGGCTGAGCAGGAGAATTGCTTGAACCCAGGAGGCGGAGGTTGCGGTGAGCCGAGATCATGCCATTGCACTCCAGCCTGGGCAACAAGAGCGAAACTCCGTCTAAAAAAAAAAAAAAAAGAAAGAAATTGGGGGAAAAAAAGAATTTAGAACTTAAAAAATTTAGAGATAAATTAGGGGCAAGTATTTGCTTCATGTAAGAATCTACTCTGAGAATTCTTTGAATAAGCACTTATGATTCTACTTTGAGGAGTATTTCTATTGTAAATACAAAACCAAATTCCAAAATTTAATATCTAAAATGTCTTATATTTAAGTAGTAGTTGGTGAAATAGAGAATCCATGTCCTCTAGCTTAATAATTCACATAAACCACAGGTTTCAAATATCAGTTCTTCAAAAAACAAGACTTAAAAAAACCACTGATTGATAAATAACAGTTACTTTAAAAACATTCACAGGGAACCAACCTAATAAAAATATCCCGAACAGCTTGTTCACTTGCTCCAATATATTTGCTGAGTAACTCTGGCCCCTATTGGGTAAAACAGTTGAGATAAAATTATTTAAAAAGAAAATATAAATTTGGTTTCTAAGTCTAAATGAATCATGGAAATTTTTAATATGATTAAATGGATGTCTTGTGCATTTAAAAAATTAATGTGTGCTAGAATAAATATCATACCACAAGTTCTATGCCTGGTGTTTCTTCTGCCTGGAACATTTTCCCCCAGATATTCTCATGGCTTGTTGCTTCATTTTATTTAGATCTCTGCCCAAATGCCACTTCTTCAGAAACCCTTTCCTGACAAGTCCATCTGTGACTCACTCCAGTTACTCTAAGCCTCTTTACCCTGCTTTTCTTCCTACATAAGACTTACCAACACCATCTGACAGTGGATTCTATACTGAATGTGTCTATTTGCTTATTGTCACTCTTCACTAGTAAAATATAAACTCCAAAAAGGCAGTTTTGTTCACTGCTGAATTCCTGGTGCCAAAAACAGTATCTGCCACATAAGTATTGGATAATCATTTTTCAAGTGAGTAAGTGAATGGTTTAAGAAGGGACAAAGTCCCATCTATTTCAAATAAAAAATTTGTAGAGATATTACATTATCAGTATATTCAGTTACTGAAACAATTTATTTGCACAGGAGTTAAAGAATGTATCATTTTTAGAACATGTGGGGAAAGGTAAAGTCAAAAAAAGAATATATAAGCTTCCTTTAAAAGCCAACTGAAAAAACTTTCAAAATAAACTTTCCTGCATATAGCAAAATCAATACGAATAGTCTTTCCTTAAATTGGGATCTTAAAAAAAACTGAATAGGTCCTAAAGTGATCTTTAGTAAAAAGTCACTATCTCCAAAAGACCAACTACTGATCAGGATATATGACCAAAATAAAGAATTTCTAATATTCAGCCACATAGATATCTGTTAACATAATAATATTTAATTACATTTCCTCAATATAGTCAGAACTACAGGACTAGAAGAGGAAACATGAAATGAAATAACTAAGGCAACGCTGGGCATGGTGGCTCACTCTGTAATCCCAGCACTTTGCGAGGCCGAGACAGGCGCATCATAAGGTCAGGAACTTGAGAGAGACCAGCCTGGCCAACATGGTAAAACCCCATCTCTACTAAAAATACAAAAATTCACTGGGTGTGGTGGCAGCTGCCTGTAATCCCAGCTACTCAGGAGGCTGAGGCAGGAATCGCTTGAATCCAGGAGGAGGAGGTTACAATGAGCTGAGATCGTACCACTGCACTCCAGCCTGGGTAACAGAGCGACACTTGGTCTCAGGGAAAAAGAAAAAAAACAATGAAGAAATAACTAAGGCAAAATAACGGGAATAAGGCAACATCCTGTTACTTTCAGTGTTTCTCCATCATTGCCAGTACACCCAGGTATCCAGTTCACACATACAAACACAAACATGATAAAAGAATAATTTACAACTGGGCAAAACCCAGTTATACATAACTAAACTGAACTGGGTGTGGTAGCTAATGCCTGCAATCCCAGCACCCTGGGAGACCGAGGTGGGCAGATCACTTGAGGTCAGGAGTTCAAAACCAGCCTGGCCAATATGGTGAAACCCCATCTCTACTAAAAATACAAAAATTAGCCTCACCTGTAATCCCAGCTACTCGAGAGGCTGAGGCAGAAGAACAGCTTCAACCGAGGAGGCAGAGGTTGCACTGGGCCAAGATTGCACCACTGCACTCCAGCATGACCAACGGAGTGAGACTCCATCTCAAAAAAAAATAAAGTGCAAATAAATAAATTATTAAACTGATGTAAAAATCAAATTTGAATAAGGCTAGAATAACACATGATTCCTTTGTCTTAGAATCTGAGTGCCCTTTGGTAAACTAATATTGCTGATGTGCTGAAACTGTACAGCTATTAGATCTGCGACCACAATGACACACGAGTGGTGGACTGTGAGGCATTAACCAAAATGATCTGCCAGCATGCCCCTTAATTATCAAACTCACTTTATGCCTGAAAAATCTTAGATCTAGTCTCACTCTGACACAAGCAAGGGTGAGATATAGTCAACAAGCAACAGAGCCAGAAAACTCCTAGCTTCCTGCCTCAGTATGGTCTCCAGTCTCTAGTTGTCTACTCCTTTTAAGTATAGTTTGCCTTTTATCTGAGTATTTATGTGTAATTCTTTTCATGAAGATCTGCCTTAAGCAAGAACATAAAGCCCTACGAGAGAGGTGGCTCATTACTCAATTTCACACAACTTTTAATAGATGGAACACTGCTCCTACCAGCTTTCCAAATGTGAGACTAGCCCACAATCGAGAAACATAATGGTGTTGGTAAAGATGTGAAGAATCAGGAACCCCCCACATTGCTGGTGGGAATGGTGTAGTTCCTGTGAAAGACAGTTTGGTGGTTCTTTGAAAAGTTAGAAAATTACGCTCAGACTCAACAATTCTCCTCACTTTATACCCAAGAGATGAAAACATGTCCATGGAGAAATTTGTACATGAAAGTTTACAGCAACATTATTCATAATAGTCAAAAGGTAGATACAATTCAAATGTTAACCACTGATATATGGATAAACAGAGTATGGCAATATGTATACAATGGAACATTATTCAGTTGTGAAAAGGAATGAAGTACTGATACACACTACTTGGATGGACCATGAACACATTACGTTAAGGGAAAGAAGCCAGACACAAAAGGTCACATATTGCATGATTCCTTTATATGAAATATACAGAACAGGCAAATTCCTAGAGACAAAGAGCAAATTAATGGTTACCAGGGAATGAGAAGAAGAGTGAATGGAATGAAAAAGTTTTGAAATTAGAGAGAGGTGGTGGTTGCATAGCATTGTGAATGCACTAAATGCCAGTTAACTGTATACTTTAAAATGGCTAACCGCATGTTATGTAAATTTTACCTCAATAAAAAAAAGAATGATAAATGGACAACATACCTTGATGCTTATAAAATTCATTCTACTCTCTTGTGCAATTACCCCAGCTAGTAAGGTTTTTCCTGTTCCAGGAGGACCATACAACAGTATTCCTGTTCTTTGTCGTATGGGCAAGTTTGCAAATAATTCTGGATACTGAGAAATAAATATATGAAAAAGAGCTCAAGTCTAAACAGAAATTACTAAGTAGCACCTAAGGATCAATGTATAGAAAAAAATTCAGATGGTAATCACCACCACCTTTCTTTAGTAACATCAAGTACAACAGTAGAAAATAAAATTTCTACTAAAAACTATAAATGAACTCAAAGGAACTAATAAAATTTTTCCTAATTAAGAACACGTTCTATATAAAATGCATATAGCTGCAGCAGAACTTCTATTTTTCCTGTTTTATTAAAATACTACATTTAAAGAGTAAAAACCAATGTTTTAATAAGCATATGCCTTTCATGCATATGCTTCATGGGGCAAGTTATGAGAGCAGAGTACATTCAAATATATTCCATCAAAGATAGTAAAATATCCCAAGAGTATCCAGGCTGAACAAATGATCAACTGCTTCTCAAATTACCTTCTAAATCACCACTGCTCAAAATACAACAGAACTTTTTGAACAGGCGAGCCAAACATGAGGCTACTGTCAGCTACATCCTGGTCTCCTTTATTAGGTTTGCTTATTTAGTTCCTTCTATTGACCATATTCCCATTCACTTATACCTCTGCTCTGATCTAAGAAGCCCAAAGTCAGCAGCTAACACAGAATCTCCACATATTGTATCTGGATGTACTGAATCTCCATGTACTAATGCTCGATGCTCCCACCCTAGCACAGGGTCATGATCCTGCTAGCTAGTACTTCCACGCCTATGTTCTCTCACACAGGTTTTAATAGTCCTGGGTTGCAATCAACATGTCCCAGGCCCCAGTGGCCACTGTTTCCAGGAGTTAATTGCCATGCAGTTAAATGTAACCCAGGGTCCTTACCCATTTTTTTTTAATCCCTTTGCATGAGTCCTTGATCTCATGCAACAATCTTTGCCTCTCAGATCCCTGATTAAAACATACTACCTCCTAGACTCTACCATCTGATCTTCTGAAGAACAATCTATATTTGCCTCCTTTAACCTGCCATCAGCCTCGTCTGTGCTGCCTGCCAACTCTGCTTTTCAAGGACTGACATTCCAGGTCTGGAAATCTAGCTTCACCCATCAGTCCTGTGAACCTTGATAACTCTTCTCTTCCACCTCCTAGTTTATTCCTAGCTGATTTGACTCAAATCCCAGCAGATAGTTCATCTTGCTTTTAAAATTTGAATGATTAAAGCAAAAAGAATTAGACATCAAAATGTATTTACTGTAACTATCACCTCAGCTTTCTATTATAAATTTCTTATGGCCAAAGACTGTATTATACACTTTAAAATCTGTCAGCCTGGGCAACATAGCAAGACTCTGTCTCTACAAAAAAATTAAAGAGTTAACTGGGCATGGTGGTTCCTCCCTGTAGTTCTAGCTACTGTGGAGGCTGAGGCAGGAGGATTGCTTGAGCCCAGGAGTTCGAGGTTGCAGCGAGGTGTGAGTGTGCCACTGTACTCCAGCCTAGATGACAAGAGTAAGGTCTCGACTCTAATAAAAAATTAATAAAATTAAAATGTGTAAAATTACCTAAAATAGTGCTAGACATTTATTTGGTAATTCACTAAACACTTGTTGACTCACATGGAGATTGGGCAAGCTAACACATAAAGCCAAAGCCAATAATACAGTGGTTCTTCACGTTTTTTTGTTTTGTTTTGTTTTGTTTTAACATACCTTGGCAGGTAACTGGATAGTATCCATGAGTATCTGCCTAACTTCATGTAATCCACCAATCTTGTCCCAACCCAGGTCTCTGGGTTTATGCAGGTTGACACTTCGCAAGGACACAGGAATAAATCCTTGGAGAGCCTTCTGGAAGTCCAATGTTGTTAAAACTAATTCTGTTTAAAAATAAACAAAATTTCTTTTAGTAGTTATATTTCACTATACAAATTTTCAAAATATACCATCATCTTAGCTGGATATGCTAATTTTCTACTCAAATAACTGCTTATTCAAATACTACAATGGAATATATTTAATTCTTGTCTTACTACAATTATATTTCTCCACAATAGAAAGAAGATTCCAAGTTCAGGTTTTAACAGTAAAACATACCCTCCCTGGTGGATATAATCTGATGAGAGAGTCGAGAATGTATGGCTCGATCCACAAGTACTGTAAAATCTCTAGCCACAAACCCTCCAGTTTCTTTAGCTACATGCTGCAGGTCAAGATTGGTGAACTTGTTTATATCACAGTCCAGTTTATTTTTTATTACATTATGCAGAATTTCACGTCTTTGTTCCTAAAGAAAAAATACAAAATTCAAATTTCCAATTTTATTCAGTTATGTATTTTAGAATGTATATTTGGAGAAAATCAGGTTGAAAAATCTATAGTGACAGAAAGCAAACTGGTGGTTGAATGGGGATGGAGCAAGGGAGGGATGGGTAGTAAATGGGCTAGGAGACTTCTGGGAGTGATGAAAATGTTTCCTTAATTGTGTTAATGGTTTCATGGCATCTATGTATGTTAATACTGATCAAATTGTACACTAGAGAGTTTGCTGTAATTAAATTTTATCTCAATAAGGTTGTAAAAAAATCGCATTAATAAATGACTCTTTCTCCAATAAGAAGCATTTTTAGTGATATATGGCTTAAGAATTTTTTGGTTCCTATAAAACTTATTTCTAAAAATATATTCAATGACCATTATCTCAAATACCATTCTATTATCCTTAATAATAGATATAATACCTATGTTCTTCAACAACAGTTAACTAGCACAGGGTCTGAACATTTAGGGTAGATGCTAGGTGAAAATTTTAAACAAGAATTTAAAATATGTTTTCCAGTCCTGGAGCATACTTCTTTCAGCTCACTGCCACTAAAACCCTCATGAGTTTCCAAAGGGGACTAAGTGCCATAATGTGATGGTGGAAAAAAAAATTTAATGAAGTATTTAAAAGCCATCTGTTTATTTCACGCTGTACTTTCTCCAAGAAATGCCATTTTCAAAAAAGTCATTTTCTTGGAAAGTGCATATTAACATTTCAGGTGGCTATAAACTAACTTGTGCCTCTAGCACAATATGTACCAAATGCTGACTTAACTACCCTTAAGATCATTAAGAGAAGCGTAAGTTTAAAGCCATAAATTACTAATAAAATTGAAAAATAATTTCTATAAAAGGAACATAATTTCAATAGTCTTTACAAGTAGTGTATTACCTGATTAGGAGGCTGAATGTGTTGGATGCACTGAAATATGTGAACTCCTTGAGGAGAAACAAGTAAAGGATGTAGAGAATGCTGAGACTGACTTGTGGCAATCAGTGCAACCAAACTTCCCATGGAGATAAACTCTTTTATCATATCATTCAAAGCTGGAATTAAGCAATACAGTGTAAAAGCTTAGGAAAAATAAACATGAAATTTAAAAACTACACATTCATTGAAAATAATGATACTCTAAGGTTGTGTTTTAAGGTAGAGTATGTATGGTATTGCTCTTTCATGCCTTTAAAAAATTAATCCATCTAATTATTCACTGACTTATCTATCAAGGACCTAATACATCTAATGGAGGCACAAGGGGTACTGCAAACTCAGACCGTATACTCAGGGCAATGTCTAGTGAGGTTCCCTACTCCTGGATCTTATGAAATAAATGAATAAGAATGTATCTCTGAAATGAATATTCTAGGAGGATGATAAAATTCCATATTGTATTGTTTGTTAAACAAAATACAGCTCATATTCCTATGACTTCCAGAATAATCTCTATCCTAGTTCTTGTAATGTTTGATATGAGAAGGTCAGAAGTGAAATAAGTAATAATGTACATCTGAGTCCTGTCCTGACCTAGAAATTTGCCGTACTCCCTTAAACACTGGAGTAATAGATTTAGTGTTTAAGATCTAGTTTAAGAACAGTAACAGATCTAGTGTAAGATTAGTAACAGTGTATAGATTTCAAAATTTGAGATTAACACACTAGTTAATAATAATCCAAGCGACTCCTGCTTGCATTTTATATCTATTTCAACTCTTAACCTTGAAGCAAGTCAATGCTGCCAAACCCTCCAACCTCACCTCCTTACCACTCCTCTCCTTGCACTCTAAGCTCCAGTCAACAGGGAATTCCCCAACATACCATTACTTCTTGTACTTCTGTGCCTTTGTCTATAGACCACGCTCCTTTTACTTCTTTATTAGCAAGAAATTGCTTCATGCTAATTTCTACTCTTCCATCAAAACTCAGCTCAGTTATCAACTCCTCCAAAAAGCTGTCCCTGATAACTCCTCCTTATCCCACCTCACTCCCAGTTTAGGTTATATGCTCCTACACTACCCTGTGTATACTTCTCCCATAGTATTTTCTGTCACCTCCGCATTGGTCATGCTGGTCAAATTAATATCTCTGAATTTCCATTTATTGACCTGTAAAGGCCAGAGAATATCTTCATGTAGAATACAAAGCAATCCAAGAAAGCCAAGAAAGGGATGGCTACTCATACATAGTAGCCGTCATTAATAGTATCATTCTGTACTAACACTGTTCACTCTTCTTTTCCTCCTAGACTTTAAGAATACAGACAGTGCACAAGCATTTGATAAATATTTGTCAAATGAACAAAAAAGCAAATCTGTAAATTAAACAACAAGAAGAATGAAAAACCCTAAAGGACTAACCATGAAGTTGCAGAATTGTCACTGTTTTTACTCTACCAATTTTGCTAATACAGTCTATAGGACAATAGCAGAATGCTATCAGGGGCCTTAAACACAACTCTTGAAGCATATAATATTCTCTGAAGAGAGATTTATCATTAAGACTAAAAATACCTACTGACAAAAGAACAAGACCTTAAGCCAGTAGTGGATGCATTTACCATGAGCAAGCCGCTGGCTCTGCACTGCATCAGGACTGTACTCATGTTCCGGGACAGCAGGCAGTCCAGCAATGAGGTCAAGGTCATCCAGCAGAACAACAGATGGCTGCCTCCACACTGCCTCTGAGAAAGCCACCTCTAGGGTTTTTTGTATGTTTTCAAGCCTTTTTCCTTAATACGGAAGATATGAAATGGTTTCAGTATTATTTCAGTGCCGGGAAAGTTCAGGCTGTCCTTTTGAAAGCACTAGAAAAGTTCAATTTTAATTTAACTATAAAAATTTGATCTATATTTTGTTAATATACCAATCACAAAAACTTGTTCATAATTAACATGGTTCAATTAATACAGTCTCAAAAGGTGCAGTAAACTATCAAATTTTATAAAACTAAGAAAAGGACGCCGGCTGCAGTGGCTCATGCTAGTAATCCCAGCACTTTGGGAGGCCAAGGCAGGCAGATCATTTTGAGCTCAGGAGTTTGAGACCAGCCTGGCCAACATAGTGAGATCCCATTTCTACTAAAAATACAAAAATTAGCCAGGTACGGTGGCATTTACCCGTAGTCTCAACTACTTGGGAGGCTGAGGCATGAGAATTGCTTGAACCTGAGGCGGAGGTTGCAGTGAGCCAAGATTGTGCCACTGTACTCCAGCCTGGGCGACACAGCAAGACTCTATCTCAAAAAAAAAAAAAAGAAAAGAAAAGAAAAAGAAAAAGAAAAAAAAATATGCTACCATAATTTCTGTATGCAGGTATTCATTTATACCCAGTTTCATTCCATTGAGAATTTTAGATGGCTTACAACAAAATCAAAAATGTAGGATGTTGGAAAACATAAGTGAGAGTAAGGGATCAAGATTCATGTAACATCAAATGCAAATGCAGCTGCCTAGAGATCCTGTAGTTGCTATATTTAAATCACAAATTTGGCTTCAAACTTCCGGGTGAGTTACAAAGGTTAAATTTGCAAAGAATAGAAAACACACAAGTTCATGATTAGTTGGGACTATATGATAGCGGTACCCAAGGGGGAAAAATGAACTGTTCAAAGTAAAATCTTCCCAATATTTTAATTAATTAATTAATTTTTTTGAGACGGAGTTTAGCTCTTGTTGTCTAGGCTGCAGCGCAACGGCGTGATCTTGGCTCACCACAACCTCTGCCTCCCAGGTAGCTGGGATTACATGCCCAGCTAATTTTTTGTATTTTCAGTTGAGATGGGGTTTCGCTATGTTGGCCAGGCTGATCTTGAACTCAAATATGTAGAGTCACCTGACTTCAGGTGATCCACCCACCTCAGCCTCCCAAAGTGCTGGGATTACAGGCGTGAGCCACCATGCCCAGCCCAGTATTTTTTTAATTGAATAAATAATAATGTAAATGTTAAGGACTTTAAAAGTACAAAAGTATTACATGGTAAACTAATTCTCATTGCTGATCACAAACTCCTACTTTCTCTCCCCTGAAGCAACCATTCTCCCAGTTTCCCATAGCAATTTAGAGATCATTTATACTGATTAGAGTGTATTCTAAGTATTAATTTTTCAGAGCAGTATCAGTGAGCACTTCCAGTAATATAGTCCACGAAGAGTTCTGGCTAGAAAAAAAAAAATAGGCCTCTATCAAATATGGAGAGTTTTAGAAATTTTATCAAAAACATTAGAAAACCAAAGTCTTAAAATAACTAAGAAATTTCAATGACTAAATAATCAAGAGAAAAGTTAAATAAAGACTAATGTGTTATTTATCAGATTGATAGCATTAATTATAAAATTCGTGTCTTTCTAATGAAAAAGGGATTTATGTAGTGTGTTACCATACTCATACCTCGTAAAGCTTTACAGTCAACTCTCTCCACATGGGCATCCAGTTTGTCAAATGCTTCTTTACAGATTGCTTTGGCTAAAGTTGATTTTCCACTTCCCTAGAAAATAATTGCTTTGTAAGAATTCCCAAGATATTCAGTCACAGAAATAGTTTCCGTCATTGTGGTAACCACCAAGTTTCAGCCTAAATTTTATATAACCTCTTACAAAAAAAAAAAAACAAAGAAGGAGGGAATACCTCCCACCTCATTTTATGAGGCCAGAATTACACTGATAGCAAAACCAAACAAACACAATACAAAAACAGAAAACTGCACACTAATAATCACTCTCAAACATATTTGGACAAAAGCTCAACAGAACATTAGCAGACAGAATTAAGCAATGTAGCAAGAATGACACACCACAACCACGTGGTATTTATCACTGGTATGCAAGGCTGGTTCAACATTTGTAAGCACCTTATAGCCTAAAAAAAAAAAAATCATATAATTGTTATCAACTGACACAGAAAAAGGGGAGGGAGAACATCAGTCTTATTCATCACTCCCCCAATACCTGAAAGCAGGCACACTGAAATATTAGTGAACAAATGAGTGCTTTCCATATGTCGTATAAACAACCCTATATAATAGCCAAGAAAGATAAATGAAAAGTTATTAGTTACTGAAAAATGAACACACTGTAACCACTTACCTTTCCTCCTGTGAGTAAAAGAGCTCCATTCCTAAGTCCCGCAACAAGCGACATCAGCTGCCGAGACAAAGGGCGTCCCAGGAGGCTATGAGTGATGTGCTCCAAGGAGGACACGCCTAAGGAATTCACTCCTCTGTAAAAGACATATGTGGTTACATGATAAAAGACTGAAGCAGGATAAAATTTAGCTATAAAAAATGCTGAAGCTTTCCTTCCCAGTGTAGTTAATTTTATTTTTAATCTTTTTTTTTTTTTTTTTTTTAGAAAGGGGCTTGCCGTGTCATCCAGGCTGGAGTGCAGTGGCATGAACCCAGCTCCCTGCAGCCTCAAATTTGGTGGCACAAGTGATCCTACCTCAGCCTCCTGAGTAGCTGGAACTTCAGGCATGTACCACCACACACAACTGATATGTGTGTGTGTGTGTGCATGCATTTGTTATAGAGACAGGGTTTTGTCATGTTGGCCAGGCTAGTTTCTAACTCCTGGTCTCAAGTGATCCATCTGCCTTCACCTCCCAAAATGCTGGGATTACAGAAATGAGCCACTGTGCTCAGACTAGTTAATAAACTTTAAGACTAAAATCTTAGAAATTTTCCCCTACTTGAGAGAAAGTATACTGATTAATGTCGTGTCTGAATCCTAGTTTTTTTCTTTTTTTTTTTTTTTGGAGACAGAGTCTTGCTCTGTCGCTCAGGCTGAAGTGCCATGGCACAATCTCAGCTCACTGCAATCTCTGCCTCCCAGGTTCAGGTGATTCTCCTGCCTCAGCCTCCCGAGTAGTTGAGATTACAGGCATCCACCACCACACACGGCTAATTTTTGTATTTTTAGTAGAGATGGGGTTTCACCATGTTGGCCAGGTTGGTCTTGAACTCCTGACCTCAGGTGATCCACCCACCTCGGCCTCCCAAAATGCCGGGGTTATATGCATGAGCCACTGTGCCTGGCCTCCAAGCTTTTTTTTTTTTTTTTTTTTTTTTTTTTTTTTTTTTGAGACGGAGTTTCGCTTTTGTTACCCAGGCTGGAGTGCAATGGCGCGATCTCGGCTCACCGCAACCTCCGCCTCCTGGGTTCAGGCAATTCTCCTGCCTCAGCCTCCTGAGTAGCTGGGATTACAGGCACGCGACACCATGCCCAGCTAATTTTTTGTATTTTTAATAGAGACGGGGTTTCACCATGTCGACCAGGATGGTCTCGATCTCTCGACCTCGTGATCCACCCGCCTCGGCCTCCCAAAGCTTGAGCCACCGCGCCCGGCCAAAGCTTTTAAAATTAGTTTTATTACTTTTAAAATGTGCAGTTACTGAAAGTTTTGCCCTAATAGAACTCCTTAAGGAATCTTAACACACAAAAAAACCTCTAACCCCCAAATGATTTTTAGTTTAGTAATCAACATAATCATAAATGGTTGCTTCTAAAGTATTGAAGATAACTAAAAACTTAATTTTCTCTTAAACATTATCTATGAAATTCAGTATCAATCTGCAGATTACATTACACAAACATGAAAATACTTGACTGTGACTGCCTACCACTTTATATTATCACGAGAGTCTAAACAGATTTTACTTTATGCTGGGCGCAATGGTTCATGCCTGTAATCCCAGCACTTTGGGAGTCTGAGGCAGGTGGATCACTTGAGACCAGCCTGGCCAAAATGGTGAAAGCCTATCTCTACTAAAAATACAAAAAATTAGGCAGGAGTGGTGGCACATGCTTGTAATTCCAGCTACTTGGGAGGCTGAGGCAGGAGGATCACTTGAACCAGGGAGGTGGAGGTTGTGGTAAGCAAAGATCGCACCACTGCATTCCAGCCTGGGTGACAAAGTGAGACTCCATCTCAAAAAAAAAAAAAAAAAAAAAAAAAAGAGATTTTACTTTATATTAATCAATACTGTTTTATAAACATTTTGACTTCATGGTTTAATCCTTTTACCAGAACATTTACAGATGATACCATTCTAGCACATCAAATCACTACTACTACCTCAACCAAAGCTTCCGTGAAGAATTCTAAGAGGTAATATTTATATGAGATTCTCAAATGATATAAGAAATATGGAAATTAAAAGGAGTTTAAAAAAAATTTTGTATATTATTTAGCCTTACTGAATCAAAAAAGGAATTTTAAAAATATTTGTTTTGAAAGTTGAGAAAAACACAAATAATCCCAAATTATTACAGTAATATAAGACAGTGAAGGAATAACTTAATTTGAAATATTTTTAAACATTCAACTAATGTTTTGGGTTTAACTTTTAAAATATATTCATTTGTTCTAAGAATTATTGTTTTATTCAAGCATATATGATCCAGGTGATATCTGGTTGCTTCATTCTCATTGATCAATCTCAAAGTAAAATTTTTAATAAGCTTCAGACTTCTTGTTATCTAAGAAGACAAGGTTATCACCTTCCAACAGGGACTGACAAAAACAAAAATAAAGAAAAACAAAAAGAAGACAAGGCAAATTACAAGCTACGTGTGAAGATAGAGACAATCCTTGAAAAAAAACTACTAATGCATTAGTAAGATCACTTATTGACATTAACATCTATTTTAATATTTACATTGAAAACTCTGCCAGATATAATGTCAAAACATGTCTCTAAACATGCTAGTTTGGCCATAACTTCTTACCCCAAAGAGCTCAGCTTTAAAAAAGGAAGAATAAAGTCAATTTCCTCACTGTTTTCTTCTTTTACCATAGGATCTAGAAGGACCTACAGTTGTAAGGAAAAATCAGTTTTACATTTCAAAATATGTCTTTTGCATGTTTTTCTCGGGCCCCAGAAAATTAAATTGCTGATTCTGATTATACCAGAGAGAACAGTTAAATTATGCATGCAACATTATTATTTAAACACCCTTGATAATAACAATGTACTCATCCAGGGAACATAAATATTTACGGTCAACAAGCAGAAAGAATGTTACTGCTTTAATACATTTTACAGATATATTTTAAATTTTAATTTGTGTCAATTATCCTTTTCACAATTCTTACACTTGTAACTTCTCTGAATGATATTCCTTCAATATTTCAAAAATAAAGGAACAACATCTAATTCCAAAACACTGAAATTCTAAATGACTAGAGTATCTTCAATTTTATAACGACAAGAATGAATATCATAATCAAAAAATAATCTTGTAAAAAGACCACTCTTGGCTGGGCGTGGTGGCTCACATCTATAATCCCAAGCACTTTGGGAGGAGGGCAGATCACTTGAGGTCAGGAGTTCAAGACCAGCCTGGCCAACATGGTGAAACCCCATCTCTACTAAAAATACAAAAATTAGCAGGATGTGGTAGCATATGCCTGGAATCCTAGCTAGTAGGGAAGCTGAGGTAGGAGAGTCACTTGAACCTGGGAGGTGGAGGTTGCTGTGAGCCGAGATCATGCTACTGCACTCCTGCCTGGGCAGTAGAGAGAGACTTCATCTCACACACGTGCACACACAAAAGACACTATTAAAATACTTCTGGAAGAGCTGGGCTCAGAGGCTTACACTTGTAATCCCACCACTTCAGAAGGCCAAAGCAGAACAATCACTTGAACCCAGGAGTTTAAGAAAAGTCTGGGCAACATGGTGAAACCCTGTCTCTACAAAACATACAAAAATTAGCCAGGCATTGTGGTGTGTGCCTGTGGTCCCAGGTACTAGGGAGGCTGAGGTGGGAGAATCACCTGAGCCCAGAAGGTTGAGGCTGCAGTGAGCCATGATCGTGCTACTGAATTCCAGCCTGGGTGAAAAAGTGAGACACTGTCTTTAAGAAAAAAACATGGAAGAAAAGAAAAGTGATCTGATAATATTTCTGAAGAGTTGGGAATTTAAGAACTGTCAAAATAATATGGGTTGTGCAGTGGAGTTGGATATAAAATAGGAATTTTAAAAATTAAACCCTTAAAACTACATTTTCATTTGTTTCAATCCTAGAAGAATTTTAAATCATGGTCCATTTACCAGTTAACACAATCAACTGTGTTCCTGAACTTAATTGTGCTAAAGCATTCATTTTTAAGTTTAGGATAGGTCAATAATTTGTACACATAAAGAGACTACAGAATAAAATATTTTAAATCAAGTTATTCCTTACTCTTATTCAGGTTTTTAATATACTTCATGATGCATGGTGTTACAAGGAAATTCACTGTATTATCAATCATATGTAACAAATATTATATAACAACATATTCAATAATATGCTATTACTTGTATTGTAGTCTTCTGCAGCAAATTGGGACTCAACAGAAAAATATTTTTTTCTTTTTCTTTTTTCCAAGAATGAACTATACTCAGAGAAAATTCCTTCAGCCCTATTAAAAAGAAAGTAATAAATGCAGAGTTAGTATTGAGACAGAGATTAAATAAGGTTTTATTTAAGGCTTTTTTTTTCCCTCAAATAGGGTCTCACTCTGTTGCCCAGGCTGGAGTGCAGTGGTAGGAACATGGACCTCCTAAGCTCAAGTGATCCTTCTGCCTCAGCCTCCCAAGTAGCTGGGAATACAGGCATACACTACCATGCCTGGCTAATTTTTGTGTTTTTTGTACAGATGGGGTGCACCATGTTGGCAGGCTGCTCTCGAACTCCTGTCCTCAGGTGTTCTGTCCGCCTCAGCCTCCCAAAGTGCTGGGGTTACAGGTGTGAGCCACCACATCTGGCCAAAGACATTTTTCAATATGTAAAATCTACTGTTTAATTATCATAATTATATTTCACTATTGACACGCTGTTCACATGTGTCACAGGTTGCAAGAAAAATTTAAAATGTACAACTATTTAAATAGAAAAAAGGTCAAATAACAAATGTACTCACCATCTTTAGTTTCCAGCTTAATAAATTCTTCCTCTGATATTACTAAAGGAAGCATGGTGGTAGTAGACTGCTGTAGCCATGAATAAAATACAGTTTTTATGTCTTCTTCACTTAGGTCTTTAGGCTGCCAGAGAAAGGAATGGTAATGAATTTTCCCCATATATAAACTTAACTTTAACACCCTTATTTTAACATCTCATCTTCCTAATAAGGTGTGAGCCTTACCAAAAAATCCAGTGAAGGATATTCACATTCTATGGGCACAGGTTTGGGATTTGACATTACAGTTAGTACAATGAGTACAGTGTAGCCTGAAGAAACATCTCTTAGATGGAAGTTTTAAATGTCCCTTTTCTCTATGCCCAGTGATACACCTACCATAATCTGGCTCACTCAATAATCATTCCACCCCCATTCTCCCTTTCTTCCCTCTACTATAGAGACAGAAAAGCAAATTCTCTTTTCTCTCTGAGACAGGGGCTTGCTCTGTTGCCCAGGCTGGAGCACAGTGGTGCAACCTCCACTCATTGCAACCTCTCCCTCCTGGGTTCAAGTGATTCTCCTGCCTTAGCCTCCCAAGTTGCTGGGATTACAGGCGTTCCTGGCTAATTTTGTATTTTTAGTCTGGCCTAATAACCTATTTTAAAAGATTTTTTTTTTTTTTTTTCAGACATTGCCTAGGCTGGAGTACAGTGGCATAATTATAGTTCACTGCAGTGTTGAACACCTGGGCTCAAGAGATCCTCTCATCTCAGTCAGCCTCCTGAGTAGCTAGGACTAAAGGCATGTACCACACCTGTTTCTTTTTTTTTTTTTTTTTGAGATGGAGTCTTAATCTGTTGCCCAGGTGGATGGAGTGCACTAGCAAGATCTAGGCTCACTGCAACTTCCACCTTCTGGGTTCAAGTGATTCTCCTGCCTCAGCCTCCCAAGTAGTCAGGATTACAGGATTAGCCACCATACCCAGCTAGTTTTTGTATTTTTAGTAGAGATGGTGTTTCACCATGTTGGCCAGGCTGGTCTCCAACTCCTGACCTCAAGTGATCTGCCTGCCTCAGCCTCCCAAAGTGCTGGGATTACGAGCATCAGCTACCGCGCCCGGCTTAACTTTTTTACATTTTTTGTAGAGATGGGGTCTTGCTATGTTGCCCAGGCTGTTCTCAAACTCTTGGCCTCAAGCAATCCTCCCACCTTAGCTTCCCAAAGTGCTAGGATTACAGGTGTGAGCCAATGAACCCCATCTACAAAGATCTTTAAGTTCTATATCTCATTTCCTGACTCTACCAGTTTCCACAGAATTAACTGAGTAGAAAAGTAAAACAGTATAGCACTCTTTTAGGCTATAATATTAATACTCAAACAACATGGGACAATGTTTCTAAATTACAACCAAGTGGCAAAAATATCCTTAAAAGCCAAAAATGTCCATATTTGCATTGGCAAATATACATATTTGTGTTATTATTTATCAAAGTTTTCTCAGGTTCTCAAAAAGTTAAACATAATTCCTAAGTATATTCCAAAGGAGCTGAAAAGAGGAACTCAAAAAGATACTTGTACACCAATGTTCACTGTAGCACTATTCACAGTAGCCAAAAATGTGGAAATAACTCAAGTGTCCATCAACAGATGAATGGATAAACAAATGTATACACACACAATGCAGTAGTATTCAGCCATGAAAAGAAATGATGTTCTGATACATGTGACAACACAGATGAGCTTTGAAAACATACATTAAATGAAGTAAGTCAGATACATAAGACAAACGTATACTTCTACTTATTTAGGATATATCTAGAATAAGTAAATTCATAGAGACACAATATACATTAGTGATTACCAGAGACTGGGGAGAGGTGGGGACAGGGAGTTATTGTTTAATGGGTACCAAGTTTCTGTTTGGGGTGATGGAAAAGTTTTAGAAGTAGATAGTGGTGATGGTTGTACAATATTATGAATGTAATTAATGCCTCTGAATTATATACTTAAAAATGACTAACGGCATATATATATTTAAACACAATAAAAACATGTAAAAGAATTTTGATATATATATATTTGAACTCACTAAATTCTCTCTAGGTTGTAACTTTAGAGATCTTGGAATTTTAGGGGTAATTTCCACTGGAGTTATCCTGACTACAGCATGCATTTCTATGTTTAGTCTCTTCCTCAGGTCATCTGGAATCTGCAATTTAAAAATAAATAACCAAACATATAAATATGTTCAAAGCTTAGTTAAGAAATATTTCACAGCATAAATATTGATATATTACCTTCTAAAAATTTAGATGAAACAACAGAAGCTATCATAACAACTGTCTGAGTCCATGCAGGCTGCTATATCAAAATATCCTAAACTGGGTGGCTTATAAATGACAGAACCTTATTTTTCACAGTTCTCTTTTGTAACAGCACTAATCCCATTCATGGGGGCTTTACCCTCATGAACTAATCACTTCCCAAAGACCACACCTCCTAATATCATCACCTTGGGAGATGGGATTTCAACACAGGAATTTGAGATGACACAAACATTCAAATAGCAACAGTGTAACCAGATGGATGTTCAGATATTGTTATATCGTGAACATTTCAATATTCTCCCTACATTTCCTTCCTTTTCTTTACATAATCTTCAGAATTAGAGCTTTAAATGAATGTATTTGACTGTACCCACCAAACCCATCTTTTAAACTATGGTACATTTACATCCTGATTAAATGCTATTTCTAATCTTTGAGCAGCCTTTTATTTTCAAAAGTTGAGAACAAACGAAGAAGCAGGAATGGCCAAAACTAATCATAGACAATCTGCTAATTGTCTGATTAAATGACTAAATACAGACAGAAACTTAGAGCTAAGAGTAAAATTTCTCCCACCCCCTAACGAATATGTTCTGAACTTAGATTGGGATGATGGTTGTACAACTATTATAAATATACTAAAAATGACTGAATTATACACTTTAATTTTTATCTCAATAATGATGTTAAAATTTTTTTTCAACTTCCCAAATATAAGAAAGCACTGAAAGACATAAAGACGACTACTCTCTAATAACTTCTAAAGAGCGGGTGCAGACATATTAATGGTAGACAAAAGTATACATAAAAACTCTAAGGTACATATTCTGACTTAAAGAGAATTTAACAATCAAGTTTCCTGTTTTTTTTTTTAAATCACCATACTTCAGAGGGTAATAAAGTCTCAAGTTAACATGAATTTGTTAGTTTTATCACCAAGTGATCAATTTTGATCTCTCAAGCCAAGTCCATTTGAGTACCTGATTTCAACTACTGTGACTTCTCACTGTCCATGGCTCTCCAACCTTCAGTGGAGTGGGAAGGGTAGAGTTCTTACTGCTATCTTAATATGGTTCACAGGACTTTACCATCAACACTTCTTCTCCCTGTTCTCACCATACAATTTCAAGGAAATAAAAAGATATTCCTGTCTAATGACAAACCAGCTAAATCATAATAAGCTCAGGGTTAAACATCTGGAATTTGAGGACACAGTGGGATCTCCTAATCAAACAGTGTAAAGCAGAAAGTAATGATCTGAGGCCAGGCACAATGGCTCATGCCTGTAATCCCAGAACTTTGGGAGGCGGAGATGGATGGATCATTTGAGACCAGGAGTTTGAGACTAGCCTGGCCAACATGGTGAAACCTTGTCCCTACGAAAAATACAAAAATTAGCCAGGTACAGTGGTGCACACCTGTAGTTCAAGGAGAATTGCTTGAACCAAGGAGGAGGAGGTCGCAGTGAACGGAGATTGCGCCACTGCCGTCCAGCCTGGGCAACAAGGCAGGACTCTGACTCAAAAAAAATAAAGATAAAAATAAAATAATGGTCCGGAGCTTTAGAAAATGATGTAGGCCAGCTGGGCGCAGTGGCTCATGCCTGTAAGCCCAGAACTTTGGGAGGTCAAGGCGGTGGATCACCTCAGGTCAGGAGTTCAAGATCATCCTGGCTAACGTGGTGAAACTCCATTTCTACTAAAAATACAAAAAATTAGCCAGGCATGGTGGTGCATGCCTGTAGTCCCAGCTACTTGGGAGGCTGAGGCAGAAGAATTGATTGAACCCAAGGCAGAGGTTGCAGTGAACTGAGATTGTGCCATTGAACTACAGCTTGGGCAATAAGAGCAAAACTCTGTCAAGAAAGAAAGAAAGAAAGAAAAAGAAAGAAGGAAAAGAAAAGAAAAGAAAAAAGAAAAGCATGTAGGCCAAAGAGATTAAAGCTTTGTAAGTTATTTGGATAAAGGTAAGTTATTTGGATTAAAACTATAGGAGGAAAAAAAAAATTCTACAAAGGAGCCAAACTCCCCTTTCTTTATTCCCTTTCCTAACAGGTTCCTCTCTTTATAACTATGAGTCTTACTTTACAGTGGTTCAAATTTAGGTTCAAATAGAGGGCCTATTGTCTTATGTCATATAAAGGTAGCATTAATATTTGTGGCCAGGATGAGGAGCTGGAACAATAGTTGCCCCATCTACTTCCTCTCTGTTATACAAATTAAAGAGTAGACACCACCAGGGTAAGCAGCTTCTGGGTGCATTCCAATCCAGGTGCCACCACACGCAGCAAGATTACCTCATGCCATAGATCTCTCCCTACACTGAGCCTTTTCCCTAATACTAACAAGTCCTTCCTTTGCTTTCAGTAACTGAGGAACAAATCTGCAAGCATTAAAGATGTAAGGTTTTGTACGGCACTCCATGCTGATGAACACCCGTCAATCTGCCTGAGTTTGAATCCTAGTTGTAACATTTACTAGCTATACAATCTCAGGCAAGTAATTCTGACCTCTCTCGGCCTGAACCTATCTAAACTTGTACCTATTCAAGCTTACTTGGCCAGAAAATATACAATCTTTATCCAAACAAGGTCTTTACTGCACAAGCATAAATGTGTCCCCCAATGCCTTTAGGCACTGTGTTTTTTTAAAATTGATTTTCAATTTATATATAAAATACTATTCTAATTCATAATTGGGGGATGTTTAAGCCACATACAATTTCTCCCAAATCATAAAACTTATACTAACCCACACTTTCCCAAGATGGAGAACTTCTACATTTTTGATGTATTTTATGGCATTCTTCAATTCTTCAAGCCCATTCCAGACTACTTGTAGCACACAGGTCTTCTCATCTTCTTCACTATGATCTGACCTAACTTTTTTTTGATCTAGTGGCTCTGACATCTGTTTCTCTTTTTCAGGTGATAAGACATTTTGTTTTGTTTTACTTTGCTCTTGCTTTGGAGAAAGTAGCTTAACTAGCTTTCCATAGGTCACAGTAAAGCTGGGCTCTACATCAAAATATTCCTGATCCCATGGAAATACATGAATGGCACAGTGCTTATGAAAAACAGAGGTTGCTGATGCATTATATATACTAGGAGGTTGAGATTTGCATACTCTGAAAATATTGTCTAGAGGAACAACCTTTGATTGCATATTTTTGAATGCGTGGATTTCAGTTAAACCCCAGGATGTCTCTTGTTTCTTCTCAGATCGAAAAGAAAAAATGCTTCCTATCATAGTCCATAAACTTGCTACTGATGACGAGTCAACTGGAAACTCTGACTTGTTTTCATTAGACTCAGTGATTCCCGCAGTATTTGACTGAAGTTGCTTGGTTTGAAGTTCTTTCATCACTCCTTTTTGGTCTCTTCCGTAACTATGAAGTTTTTTATATTCAGCATCTGTTTTTGAAAATGCAGATTTCTCTTTGGCTTGGCGTGTCTTTGGCTGAATAAGGAGCTTGGTGTCAGTTTCCAGCCTTCCATAAGTAGCAGTTGGTATTAGTGCAACTGTACAGAAAATAAACCTCATTAGTGCACATTCATTTCTACTTTGGACTCAATGCTATAGTGTATAATTTGACAGCAAATAGTACAATAGCACCTACCAATCTGAATAAATACGTAAGTTTGTTGATCAACCCAAACAGGAAAAATGGCTTTTGGAAAAACGATTCGAATTTGATCTAGAAGATGCTGTTCAAGGGAAACAGCATGCAGCTCCTAGAACCAACAGACGAAAAGATCAATTCACTTTATATTTTGTCCATTCCATGTCTATTAGGAAAAATCTCAATTCATTCTTTTTAAAAAACAAATTTAATGTGCATATTTATTGTATACAACATGATGTTATGAGCTACATGTAGATAGTAAAATGGTTACTATAGTGAAGTAAATTAACACATATATCATCTTAGTTACCCACTTTTTTTGTGGTAAGAGTAGTTAAAATCTACTCATTTAACATGAATTCCCAAATACAATTATATTACCTATAGTTGTCAGGTTGTACATTAGATTGCTACCAATTCATTCTTTTTTTATGTGAAACAAGGTCTCATTCTGTTGTCCAGACTGGAGTACAATGGTGTGATCTTGACTCACTGCAGTCTTGACTTTCTGGGCTCAAGCAATCCTCCTGCCTCAGCCTCCCAAGTAGCTGGGACTCTATAGGCATGCACTATCATGCCCAGCTAATTTTTGTATTTTTAGTAGAGGTGGGGTTTCACCATGTTGCCCAGCCTGGTCTTGAACTCCTGGACTCAAGCAATCCACCTGCCTTGGCCTCCCAAAGTGCTGGGATTATAGGCATTAGCTACTGTGCCCAGCCCCAATTCATTCTTACAATTCAAACCCAACTCGGAATATGTAATAAAGTTTAGAGAAGAGAAATCTAAAGACATTGATATTGTGAAGTAATTTAAGCTTAAATGAGATAGTTCTTATTTGGTTTTCTTTACCAGTATCTCCCAATCATCTGCTGAAAGGGGTTCCACCTCAACTTGTTGACAAGATACCACATAGGAACATGGCTTGAGAAATACCTAGAAAAAAATTAAAAATTTAAAACTACTTTAAACAATTTTTCTGTATCATACAGAAAACAAGAAGTTAGTTATCTTATGATTTTAGGTAAGTAGATATGTGTGTTTTAGAGGGGGTTGTATATGTAGTCTATGTAATCTTTCTTTTTTTTTTTTTTTTTTTTGAGACGGAGTTTCGCTCTCGTTACCCAGGCTGGAGTGCAATGGCGCGATCTCGGCTCACCGCAACCTCCGCCTCCTGGGTTCAGGCAATTCTCCTGCCTCAGCCTCCTGAGTAGCTGGGATTATAGGCACGCGCCACCATGCCCAGCTAATTTTTTTTGTATTTTTAGTAGAGACGGGGTTTCACCATGTTGACCAGGATGGTCTCGATCTCTTGACCTCGTGATCCACCCGCCTCGGCCTCCCAAAGTGCTGGGATTACAGGCTTGCGCCACCGCGCCCGGCTCTTTTTTTTTTTTTTTTTGAGACAGAGTCTTGTTTCATTGCCAGGCGCCCGGCTGGAGTGTAGTGGCACAATCTCGGCTCACTGCAACTCCGCCTCCCCTGGTTCCAGCAATTCTCCTGCCTCAGCCTCCCGAGTAGCTGGGACTACAGGTGCATGCCAACACGTCCAGTTAATTTTTGTATTTTTAGTAGAGACAGGGTTTTACCATGTTGGCCAGGATGGTCTCGATCTCTTGACCTCGTGATCCGCCCACCTTGGCCTCCCAAAGTGCTGGGATTACAGGCCTGAGCCACCTCGCCTGGCCTCTTTCTCTCTTTTTTTCTTTTTTAAGAAATGGGGCCTAGCTCTGTTACCCACGCCAGAGTGCAGTGGTGCAATCATAGCTCACTGCAGCCTCGAAACCCTGGGTTCAAGCAGTCCTCCTGCCTTAGCCTCCTGGGTAGCTAGGAAAATAGGTACAAGCCACTGTGCCTGGCTATATCTGTAGTCTTTCATGTGACAAATATTTATTAAGTACTTATTCTTAGCCAGGCCTTACTATACTCAGCATTTTAGGAAAAACTGCTTCATAACTAATTACAGATGGAAGAAAAATACATCTCAGCACATTTCCTAAATAAACGTGGTAATAAAGATAATCATTAAAAAATGTAAGTAAAAAATTAAAGAAGAAATGACTATATCATCAAGTTATGGCTTGATCTAATAAATACATACTCTGATTATTTCTAGAAGTTTTGCAACAGCCATGCTGCTTCGAGAAAAGTAAAAAATACACTGAAATAGAAACTAGAGGCAAATATTTAGAAGTATAATCCTTCACAGCTAAAAATTAATTAAAACAAATAATACCCTCTCATTGTAGTTTAAATATATGAAACTCCAGTATGTCTCAATAAGCTGGAGTCACCATCTTACTTCCTTTCCCCTTCTATAGGCATCTCCAAGGATTAAAGAAGTACAATCCAAAGCCTCTGCATGTTAAATATTCTAGGTAATTGACCCTTCCTCTGTTTTTTTGTGGACTGGAGCAGAATTTCCGCGAGTCCCTCACCTCCAGACTCCTCAGTAAATTTCTCTTCAATATCTCCCTTACTGAAAAGGATGATTCTGGGCAAGCACAAAGCAGCTCCTGCCTACCAAGAAGCTACAGACTCCACAGTTTCTTAGCAGGCTTGCTGCAATAAATGATTTTTAAAAAGCAGGTAAAGTCACTTCAAAGCAAATGGGAATTAAAAACAAGTAAGATTCTTCAGAGTACTAATTAAGACATGAAAATCAGGAAGTTGATGTTGCCCACAGGGAAGTGCTCAGTACTCACAGAGCAGAACTGTAACTTGCTAAGCAATCCTGGGTAAAATACACCATCTCCTTGTATTGTAGAACAAAGCACCAAAGTTAATGATTTCTTTTTTTTTTTTTTTTTGAGACAGAGTTTCGCTCTTGTTACCCAGGCTGGAGTGCAATGGCGCGATCTCGGCTCACCGCAACCTCCGCCTCCTGGGTTCAGGCAATTCTCCTGCCTCAGCCTCCTGAGTAGCTGGGATTACAGGCACGTGCCACCATGCCCAGCTAATTTTTTGTATTTTTAGTAGAGACGGGGTTTCACCATGTTGACCAGGATGGTCTCAATCTCTTGACCTCGTGATCCACCCGCCTTGGCCTCCCAAAGTGCTGGGATTACAGGCTTGAGCCACCGCACCCAGCCCAAAGTTAGTGATTTCTAAGGTCCCTTTGGTGCTAAAAATTGTAATATTCTAGCAACAATTGAGAGTATGCAAGGGACTAGTGCTAGGTTTGTAGATTTCTCATGAGTAGCCTACTCTCATAAAAAACATGCATAAACAAAATTAGTCTGTGCTCAAAACAAGTAAAAAGACATGGCACTCTTGTGTATTGTCATGGGAAATTGGTAATAGAGAGCAATGTAGCCCCATCTATACAAGTTTTAAATGTATAGCACCCTTGGCTATTCTGTTTTTAAATGTTTCACTCCACATATATATCTGATTCTGAGAAAGGACAAAGCAGCTCCTGCCCACTAAGAAGCTAAGGACTAGGCTAGCCAGTCCACTTTCTGTTTCTATCAGTGATTCTTTAGGAGACAGTGTCTTCGTGGCAGTGCTGCAACACAGGATCATAAAGATACAGAGAGAGGGAAAGAAATAGACATGTTCAATGCATATTGTAATACATGGAAAGGTATTTGATATATTTTGTGGGATAATAATTTCAGAAAATATGTATGATCTCATTTTTCAAATCCTAAAGGTCTAGTGAGATCCCCCAAAACAGTAGATATTAATTCTGAGGATGGGATTGGGGAAAGGTAAAAACTCATTTTTTACTTTCAATGGTAAAATAGGTATAACGAACATGTATTATTACTATTTCTTCTTAAGAGACAGGGTCGGCCGGGCACGGTGGCTCAAGCCTGTAACCCCAGCACTTTGGGAGGCCGAGGCGGGTGGATCACGAGGTCAAGAGATCGAGACCATCTTGGTCAACATGGTGAAACCCCGTCTCTACTAAAAATACAAAAAAAAAATTAGCTGGGCATGGTGGCACGTGCCTGTAATCCCAGCTACTCAGGAGGCTGAGGCAGGAGAATTGCCTGAACCCAGGAGGTGGAGGTTGCGGTGAGCCGAGATCGCGCCATTGCACTCCAGCCTGGGTAACAAGAGGGAAACTCCGTCTCAAAAAAAAAAAAAAAAAAAGAGACAGGGTCTTGCTGTTGCCCAGGCTGGAGAGCAGAACCATAGGCCACGTAATTCCTGGGCTCAAGCACTCCTCCTACCTCAGTCTCCTGAGTAGCTAGGATTATAAGCATGTGCCACCATGCCTGGCTAATTTTTTTTCATTTTTTCTGTAGAGACAGGGTTTTGCTATGCTGCCTAGCCAGGCTAATCTTGTGAACTCGTGACCTCAAGTGACCTCCTCCCACCTTGGCCTCCCAAAACACTGGGATTACAGGCATAAGCCACTGAGCCCAGCCTTATATTATATTACTTATATTACTTCTACAGTTATTTTTAAAAGAATAACTTGATAAACATAAAACAAAAAATAGAAATGGGTATTCTTCAGGTTTATAATCTAAGCATGTTAAAATCATAAGGGAAGACAAAAATGAAAAAAAAATAATAATCCTGTGTGTAGGATTATTTATTTATTTTGAGAATTTGTTTCCCTTTTGTCACCAAGCTGAAGTGCAGTGGTGCAATCTCGGCTCACTGCATCCTCCACCTCCCAAGTTCAAGCAATTCTTCTGCCTCAGCCTCCCGAGTAGCTGGGATTATAGGTGCCTACCACCATGCCCAGCTAATTTTTGTATTTTTAGTAGAGACAGGGTTTCACCATGTTGGCCAGGCTGAGTCTTGAACTCCTGACCTCATATGATCTGTCCACCTTGGCTTCCCAAAGTGCTGGGATTACAAGCATGAGCCCCTGCACCTGGCTGAATTTTTATTTTTTTTTAATCAAGTGAGACCATGGAAGGTTATAAAATATGTTTGCAACAAAGTTCAATAATAGTAAGTAAAACCTAGTAATTCAAAAGGAAAAATAATTTCATGAAACCAAAATCAGGGTATGTGGAAAATGAGTTAAACAGTAGAATAAGAAGCAAGCAGGCTGGGCGCGGTGGCTCATGTCTGTAATCCCAGCATTTTGGGAAGCCAAGGAGGGAGGATCACAAGGTCAGGAGTTCGACACCAGCCTGGCCGACATGGCAAAACCCTGTCTCCAATAAAAATTAGCCAGGCGTGGTGGCATGGTTCCTGTAATCCAAGATACTGGGGAGGCTGAGGCAGGAGAATTGCTTAAACACAGGAGGCAGAGTTGCAGTAAGCTGAGATCATGCCACTGCAGTCCAGTCTGGGTGACAGAGTAAGACTCTGTCCCCAGAAAAAAAAAAAAAGGAAGCAAGTAGGGAGTAAACTACAAAATAATGACTTAAAAACAGAATGGTCAGCTTCAATATCTTACACTAGTTATATCATAGCATACAAGTTAGGTGTCATCTCATCTTAAAAAAAAAAAAAATCTAAACTTTTATTTCCATTGCTATATTATGTGACATTAGAAGAAAGTTATGGCCGTATTTGCTTACCTGTCCCCCATTTGAGAGTCCAAGCTTTTGACCAACTTGTCTGTTAATTTCAGCCACATTTTCGCCTTGATCACTAAAATGCCTGCCTTCTACCCAGCTCAAGAATGCAGGCTGGTGACTCCAGACCACTTCTATAGCTTGATTCTATTCATATAAGAAATGAGAGGAAAAAAGGTTTTCGATGTTTACACATTTTTCTGGATTCACATGAAAATAAACTATTGCTGCAATTCACACATACAAAAAGAGTTCTATAGGTAGTTCTCTGTTATCTACATTTGTTGTAGCATTTAAAAATCTATAATCATTTCCAATACCCAATGCTGGTGATGGTAATGAATGAAACCTATACCATTATATTCTTATGGCAGCGTTATAAATTTAATCAACCCTTTCAGAATTCAAAATGGCAACAGTCAATAAACTTACATAGCAATTAAGCAACATATAACTATTTGAGCATTTATTCCCAATTAATGATTCAAAGGAAAAAGAAACAACAGCAAAAGCTATTTGCGCAGTTATTTTCTACAATAGTGAACACCTGGGATTGTCTTAAATGTCTATCAATAGGGAAAATATTAAATAAGCTATAAATTTACTATTTTAACATGAGTAAGTAGAAACATATATCATCATCTTTAAAAATGTAACAACATAGTTTTAGAATTATGAAACACCAACCAGATGGAGTATGCAATCCATATTTATTTATTGGAAGAGTAATATATGCATGTGGCAAAAACACAAAAAGTACAAAAGGGGAAAATGTGAAGCCATGTCCCTGTTCTCAGAGGTAATTACTGCTGTTTCTTCTGTACCCTTCCGGAAATGTTATATTATGCAACTTCTTAATAATTTTAAGGGCTCATAACTATGAAGTTTAAAAAAAGTGAAATATAACATTTATTCTTATTAAAAGAGCAATTATGTAAAACATGTTAAGTTTGTGGCCAAGGACCAAACAAGGGTTTTCTACGACTAAACAATTACAAACTCATTATAGGGACCTCGGAAAATACATAAACTTGGAAGGAAACAAAGGAATTACCAATATTCTCTCCACAAAAAAGACAACCATGTGAACAATTTGGTCTATTTCTTGCTAATCCTTTTTTTTCTATGTGCAAAGTAATTTTTCATATAGTTGTGTATTATAGGCACAATTTAATATCCTTTTCTCCTACTCCCCTACTTATATTTATCATAAGCATTTTCAAACTTTTTTTTTTTTGAGACAGGATTTTGTTCTGTTGTCCAGGCTGGAGTGCAGTAGCACAATCACAGGTTACTGTAACTTGAAACTCCTGGGCTCTAGCAACCCTCTCACTTCAGTTTACTGAGTAGCTAAGAATACAGGCACATACCACCACACCTGGCTAATTTTTTCTATAGAGATAGGATCTCACTAGGTTGCTTAGGCTGGTCTTAAGCTCCTGGCCTAAAGTGATAAAGTGATCCTCCCACCTAAGCCTCCAAACTGTTGGGATTACAGGCATGAGCCACCATGCCCAGCCACATGTATCATTTTTAAAATAAAAAGAATTTGATTAATACATATCAAGACTAAATTTTAAAAAATCAGCCAGGTGTGGTGGCACACACCTGCGGTCCCTGCTACTTGGGAAACTGAGGTTGAAGGATCGCTTGAGCCAGGGACGTTGAGGCTACAGTGAGCCATGATAGTGCTATTACACTCCAGCCTGGGAAACAGAGTAGGAATCTGTCACATAAAAAAAATAAATAAATAAATAAAAGAGGCCAGGCGCAGTGGCTCAAGCCTGTAATCCCAGCACTTTGGGCGGCCGAGGTGGGTGGATCACAAGGTCAAGAGATCGAGACCATCCTGGTCAACATGGTGAAACCCTGTCTCTACTAAAAATACAAAAAATTAGCTGGGCATGGTGGCGTTTGCCTGTAATCCCAGCTACTCAGGAGGCTGAGGCAGGAGAATTGCTTGAACCCAGGAGGCGGAGGTTGCAGTGAGCCAAGATCACGCCATTGCACTCCAGCCTGAGTAACAAGAGTGAAACTACATCTCAAAAAAAAAAAAAAGACATATCAGAAACCTTCAGTTTTATTAATTTATTTATATCAAAATAAATTCATTAAGTTTAAAATATTAGGCCAGGCACAGTGGCTCACAGGTGTAATCTTCATACTTTGGGAGGCTGAGATGGGGGGGACTGTTTGAGCCCCAGAAACTCAAGGGCAGCCTGGGCAACCCTTATCTCTACAAGATCCATATCTCTACAGAACATTATTCATAATTTAAAATATTAAATACCAAATTCATTCATTTACACGGATTTTTTTTTTCTTTTTTTCCCTGAGACAGGATCTCACTGTGTTGCTCAGGCTGGAGTGCAGTGGCACAATCATCGGCTCACTGCAGCCTCAACCTCCTGGGCTCAAGTGATCTTCCCACCTCAGTCTCTCAAAGTGTTGGGATTACAGGCGTGAGCCAACATGCCCAGCCTTTATGTTTCTTTAAATGGGAAGAATTTCAAACAATGCTGGAGCAACTTCTAAGACAATATAATGTACTGGAAATTAACCATGTTATTATAATTTTAGGAAAGCCATCATCATGTATCACTTAGTTGTATAATTTTTCTCACAATTTTCACAGAATAGTCCAACTGTTCTGGCTGACAAATTCTTTCAACTGACTGTATTTTGCCTAGATTTGGAGTCAAAAGTCTTAAGTTACTGTATCAGCTATAACCATGTAAGCTATTTCAAGAATGAAGGTGTCCAAGCCCCAGATACTTTTGTGGGTTTTCATCAGAGTCAGCAATACATATTCCAGATCAATTCTACTTCATGTGAAGAAACTTAAGAGATGGAAATATGAAAGATGCCCTGAAATATCAAAAAAGGAAACTCTACCAGCTCATTGAAAAAAGAAAAACGAACCTTATTGAGGAGGAAAAAATACTTCTAATTATTTATTTGGTCAAAAAGTAGTAACCAGCTCCATAAAGCCATAATATGTGCCCAGTTAGATTTTGCAAACTTTGCAGACTAATGTTCTAAGTTCCTTTTCATGTCAAAATACTTCACTGAACCAGAGACCCCTGGCTATTTAGGTAAAGAAAGAGGAGAGACAGACAGCTAGAAAAGAACCTCTTTTCCAGGAGTCAAGTCAAATCAATTAATCAATTGATCTTCTTTGACCTAAACTGAGCTATCAGTATTACCAGAAAATCTGCAGGTAAAACCATCAGTTGGAATGCCTTAGGAATGTCCAGGTCCAAAGCCTGGGGTATCTCTTGTTAACACAAGGAAAATTAAAATTGTGTGGCCATATCCGAATGGTGATTTAGGTTCATTTGCATCCACTACGCATATGAACCCTTTCCCCCTACTGCAATCACGGTCAAGTCCTGAGTACAGAGAAGGTAACTTAGTTGAAGCAGTGGTTCTCAACCAGAGGTGACTTTGTCCTTCAGCAGACATCTAGCATTGTCTGGAGACATTTTTGGTTGTCACAAAGAGTGAGGGAGTACAGGCATCTACTGGATAGAGGCCAAGGGTGCTGTTAAACATTGTAAAATGTACAGGAGAGCCCCCAAAACAAGAAATTATCCAGCTCAAAATGTCAACAGTCAGGCCAGGTGTGGTGGTTCACACACGTAACCCCAGCACCTTGGGAGGACGAGGCAGGTAGATCACAAGGCCAAGAGATTGAGATCATCCTGGTCAGTAAGGTGAAACCCCGCCTCTACTAAAAATACAAAAATTAGCTGGGCGTGGTGGTACGTGTCTGTAGTCCCAGCTACTTGAGAGGCTGAGGCAGAACTGCTTGAACCTGGGAGGCACGGGTTGCAGTGAGCCAAGACTGTGCCACTGCACTCCAGCCTGGCGACAGAGTGAGACACCATCTCAAAAAAAAAAAAAAAAAGAATGTCAACAGTGCCAAAGTTGAGAAATCCTGACCTAAAGCATCTACTGGGTAGTCAGTTCTGAAAGAATGACTTGAGGAAACGAGAATACACACCAGGTGGGGTGGCTCACATCTGTAATCCCAGCACTTTGGGAGGCCAAGGCCGGTGGATCACCACCTAAGGTCAGGAGTTTGAGACCAGCCTGACTAGCATGGAGAAACCTCATCTCTACTAAAAATACAAAATTAGCCGAGCGTGGTGGTGCATGCCTGTAATCCCCGCTACTTGCGAGGATGAGGCAGAAGAATTGCTTGAACCCAGGAGGCGGGGGTTGCTGTGAGCAGAGACCGCTCCACTACACTCCAGCCTGGGCAACAAAAGCGAAACTCCATCTTAAAAAAAAAAGGAGAGAGAATACAATACTTGAAACACAGAATAGAGTCTATCAAGTGTGATGTGTCACATAACACAATAGTGAAGTTTTGAAAGGGAGAAAATGTGGGCAACAAAGAATTGGAAAGCTATGTGGAGGAGGTAGGATTCTGCTCTTTTTAAAGACATGGAATTTGTATGAAAGGAATAAAAGTGACTTAGGGAAGAATGGCATGAGTAAGAGAACAGAAGTGGGCAAAAGATTGGTTATAGAAGAAACAGTGATTGGGTGATGCAGAGTAAGCTATAGACAAGAAGGCAAATCAGCTGCCTGGCAATGGTACTGGCCTAAGAATGCCAGTTTCCTGCCGGGCGCGGTGGCCCAAGCCTGTAATCCCAGCACTTTGGGAGGCCGAGGCGGGTGGATCACGAGGTCGAGAGATCGAGACCATCCTGGTCAACATGGTGAAACCCCGTCTCTACTAAAAGTGCAAAAAATTAGCTGGGCATGGTGGCACATGCCTGTAATCCCAGCTACTCAGGAGGCTGAGGCAGGAGAATTGCTTGAGCCCAGGAGGCGGAGGTTGCGGTGAGCCGAGATCGCGCCATTGCACTCCAGCCTGGGTAACAAGGGCGAAACTCCGTCTCAAAAAAAAAAAAAAAAAAAAAAAAGAATGCCAGTTTCCTTATGTGTAAAACTACAGAAATGACCTAGATGCATAAGGTCCATATCGTCATTAATGTTCTATGACTCTAGGACGTCATTAATGTTCTATGATTCTAGGACAGTATGCTCAACTCTTTTGTGCATCCAAGTAGCACGAATAAATTTTTTAAAGTTAGAGATGCCTAAAGCCTATTCCCTAAGAGTTTGATTTAATAGGTCTGAAGATTGATCAGAACATCTATATTTTTAAAAGCTTCAAGGTGAGTCTGACACAGGCCAGAAAACCATTGTTCCGACCCTTCGTCTCATTACTGCACGATCTGTATTATGTACTCAATGCTTCACGCAAATAAAGTAATTCAAGTATTAACTCACAACTTGTGAACCTTTCTGCTTTCATAATTGTCTATGGTCTCCAACATAGTAATTCTTGGGAATATATCCTAAATGACCAGAAATAAAAATGTTTTCTAAACATAGATGTGTTATTTTCAACGTTTCATTAAAATATAGTTTAACACTTTTTTTTTTTTTTTTTTTGAGACAGAGTTTCGCTCTTGTTACCCAGGCTGGAGTGCAATGGCGCAATCTCGGCTCACCACAACCTCTGCCTCCTGGGTTCAGGCAATTCTCCTGCCTCAGCCTCCTGAGTAGCTGGGATTACAGGCACACACCACCATGCCCAGCTAATTTTTTGTATTTTTAGTAGAGACGGGGTTTCACCATGTTGACCAGGATGGTCTCGATCTCCTGACCTTGTGATCCACCCACCTCGGCCTCCCAAAATGCTGGGATTACAGGCTTGAGCCACCGCACCCGGCCTAGTTTAACACTTCTAATGCCTAAGAATTAAGTACAATCTAAATGGTCAATCATAGTGAACAATTAAATTATGGCAAATTTGTGCTAGAATACTAATTAACAAATTAAAATAATGATGACCTTTTAACAAAATAAAACACTCACAGTAACATTAAAGAAAAACACCAGGACACAAACTGTATCTGTGTATATAAGGACCTCATTTCTGTTAAATCAAGATTAGAAACAAAACTGGAAGATTTGATCCAAACTGTCGACATTAGTCATCTTTAAGTTCTGGGATTATGGTAACTTATTTTCTTGTTAACAATTTTCCATGCTTTCCAAATTTTCTATAAAACGTAAATTCTAAGTTTATATAATTTATCAAAGAATAAATGTGTAATTTGTAGAATCTATAAAGTCATAAACTTATTACATTGATAATCAGAAAGCAAAGTTGCCCTATTCTGCTAATACAGGTTGAATGGAAACAGCAATTTGTTCCAGGGCTAAAGACATTTATATTTCAAAAAGATAACGCATGAATTATTAAAAGTACTTCTTGAAGTCTCAAATTTAAAACAAAGATCAAGACCACTAAACTCTTAAACATTGATGAATGTATTGTAACAACTACATCTTAGGATCAAATTAGAGTTACTGTAAGAAAGCATTCCTACTATTACCTGCAGATTTGAAAACACGTTGAAAATCCCATGCGAGCTGACAGAGCACTGAACAAACTTCTACCTGGAACTTGGTGACAGTGACTGATTTGTCTGTCTCTAGCCATAAAGCCCATCAAGGACCAAAAGATAGTCTACTTATTGGTAAAAAATAATAACGACGACGATAGAGGATTCTGCTGAATTCATGTTTTGAAAGACGGACCAAAAAAATCTTCCCCTAGATATGGGGAAGCAACTCAAGTGGAAAGAAGGGATGCTTGAAATTATTGCAAGCTCTTTATTATTGCATAGATTAGCCACTGGTGGGCACCATGCATCCAGGATTTATGAGTATTAGGGACAAGCTGCTTCAGAAAACCCCTTCGCGCAAGCTGACCCCCACCCCCACCCCCACCCCCGGCTCCGGCTCCGGCCCGGCCCCCACCGCCTGATTGCTCTGCAGCTGCTTTCCATTTCTGAACGCCTATCTAGGTGCTACAATTAAGCAAAGCCTGATTACAGCCATGTGGGCAGGTCGGGGAAGGAAAGGGAAAACGTTTGTTATCCATACTTGTAAATTCCTGTTTTACACATACCTGTAAAATCCTGTTTTTTAAAAAACTGCCGCCACAAAAGTCACAGGATTCGCAGGATGATGTATTGTAAGTCAGTCACAATTAAACAAACCATTTCTGTGCCCGTTACAAGCTGATAAATTATCTCAGTCCTGAAACTCTCTTGAGCCCCTCTCACCCCATAAAAGTCCCTCATTTTGTGAGCTCGGGGCTGCCTCCTCTGATTGTTACCGGCAGCCTGGCAGGTTAATAAAACTTGCTTGCCTGACTTTGGGTCTATTCTCCTTTCCTCTTGGCTAACCTTACAATGAGAACTTCGAATACGCTATCCTTTTGCCCCCATAAGCACACTCAAATTCTTGGGATCATGTGCCTCTATTTTTAATTATGAAAATAGGGACGCTGTATCTCCCCCAGTGGTTACAACTGTGAAACTTCCCTACCACAACGTCCAGAAGGGAGACTGATCTCAGAGCTTCAAGTGATCCTAACTACGATACGTGGTCCTGACACACCACAGCTGTGTTCCGAGGGTCAGCGATGCCGCGCAGAACCATCACTGTATTAACCTTTCCAGCTTATGGGACGCGGTGGTCAGTCCCCGGGAATCTACCCGGGCTCAGCCAACAACTCTCCGCCTCCCTCTCGCGGCCGGGACGGCAGCAGCGCAGGTAACTGGAAATGGCTGGCAAGAAAAACACCTTTTAAAATAATAAAAACAAACGACTTCTCCGGAGATTTTCCAACCTGGAATAAGGAATATTTCTAAAAACAATGGTAGAATGTTAGGATGTTTCTAGGCCCAGTTTCACCAAGTGAAAAGACCTGGGATAAGACAAGCCCAGGGCTGCCCAGGACTTGTGGGACGCAGAGACTGCTCAGAGGGGCCCCGCCCTCGAAGGACCTCAGTCTGACCTCGGCGCGCTTCGGAAGCGCCCGAAAGGCAGCAGGCGTCCCGCCGCTTCCCAGAGAGGCTTCGGCCTAGTCCGACCCCAGGCTGAAGACCAGGTGGCCGGGGCCGGCACGTTACCTGCAGCAGGTGCAGCTGGGCCACGAGACGCCGCGGCAGGTGGAGAAAGCAGTCGCGAGCGTTGGTGAAGACCACAGTCACTGCCGCCCCGCCTCGCCCAGCACCCGTCAGGCGATCGCTGCCCCACATAGTTCCTGAGCGTCGCTTTGGGTTGTCCCACCCTAGCGCCGCAGCGGACCCGGGACCTGGCAGGCCCAGGGCGTCGGAGCCGGAGGAGATCGATCGGCCCGCCCCCTCTCCCCGCTGCGCGTCTCGTCGCACGCCTGTATTAGGTGGGACAAGCAAGCCTCTGTCACTCACCCCGCCTCTCCGCCGCGCAGCTCGGGGGCGGCAACTCGTTCATTAAATCCTCTCACGCCGGAAACGATGGCCGACGCTGTCGATTCTCCAGCCAATCGTGGGCCTCCTTGACCCATCTCGCTCTCTTATTGGGTAAAAGGGAGCTCAGCAGGGCGGATGTTGTCCTCCCTGCGAGTATCAAAGCAGGCAAGATGGCGTCGAGCGGCAGGGAGTTAGGGAGTGTATTTGAACACCACGTCCAGCGGGCGGTTTGCGACACGCGGGCCAAATATCGGGAGGGACGACGGCCTCGTGCTGTCAAGGTAAAGCGATTTTGGTTTCATTCGCTCTCCTCGGTACCTTTATATGAGTGCTAGCGCCATATGGCCAGCCTACAGAAATAAAGGCATGACAAGGCTGTTGTCAGATCTCTCTTTTAGAGCTGGCGTAAAGAATCTTGCTTGGGTCAGGTATCAAAGATTCCCACGACCCTTTTGGTCAACTATTAGAACATCAACTCCACGAGACTAAGGCTTGGTTTTAGTCATTGGATTTTCTGTATTTACAGTACTACTTGGCACAAGGTAAGCGCTCAGTGACTATTCGTTGAGTGATTGTTCCCGGTGAATTCTACCGACTCAATTTCTGGAAAAAAATGTCGACTAAAGGTAATCTGTTATATGCCTTAGTTAGGCACCGTCTCACACGGGCAGTTATTCTTTATGCAAAGGGAATGGCAGACATTTTATTTTGTGTTTTTTGCTGACTGGGTTGAACAGATTATTTGTTTTCAAAGCTCTGTTTCAAAAAAAAAAAAAAAAGCAGCCGGGTGCGGTGGCTCAAGCCTGTAATCCCAGCACTTTGGGAGGCCGAGGCGGGTGGATCACGAGGTCAAGAGATTGAGACCATCCTGGTCAACATGGTGAAACCCCGTCTCTACTAAAAATACAAAAAAATTAGCTGGGCATGGTGGCACGTGCCTGTAATCCCAGCTACTCAGGAGGCTGAGGCAGGAGAATTGCCTGAGCCCAGGAGGCGGAGGTTGCGGTGAGCCGAGATCGCGCCATTGCACTCCAGCCTGAGTAACAAGAGCAAAACTCCGTCTCAAAAAAAAAAAAAAAAAAGCAGATTCGTCCTAAGTTCATTTGCGAAATACGTTTAACGACTCTGCATTTCTTTCAGGTATATACAATCAATTTGGAATCTCAGTACTTATTAATACAAGGAGTTCCTGCTGTGGGAGCCATGAAGGAATTAGTTGAGCGATTCGCTTTATATGGTCCAATTGAACAGTACAATGCTCTAGATGAATACCCGGCAGAAGACTTTACTGAAGTTTATCTTATTAAATTTATGAACTTACAAAGTGCAAGGTAATATGCAAGTTAAGCAGTGACTCATTTTCTCCGTTCATATTTCTATCATTTTGGCCTCAAGTTTCCCTCATTCATACCTCATTCAACATAATCTAGCCTATATTCCACTTACCTTCCTCCAGCTTTTTTAAAGGTATACTTTACTGAAGCACTGTTCCCATCACATCATTCCCATGCTTAACAATTTAACGTCCTGTGGTATGGTAGATTAAAAGTTGGGTTTGAAGGCAGGGCATGGTGGCTCACGCCTGTAATCCCAGCACTTTGGGAGACTGAGGCAGGCAGATCACTTGATGTCAAGAGTCCAAGACCAGCCTGGCCAACATGACAGAAACCCCAGCTCTACTAAAAATACAAAACTTTGGGCGTGGTGGTGCGGACCTGTAGTCCCAGCTACTCAGGTGGCTGAGGCATGGGAATCACTTGAACCTGGGAGGTGGAGGATTGCAGTGAGCCAAGATCATGCCACAGGACTCCAGCCTAGAGTCCAAAAAGGCTGATGTATGCAATGCCTTATCTATTTTTATGTTATAAAGCGAGGCTCCATCTCAAAAAGAAAAAGAAAAAGAAAAAAAAAGTTGGGTTTGAGGCCAGGCACATGGCTCATGCCTGTAATCCCAGCACTTTGGGAGGTCAAGATAGGTGGAACACCTGAAATCAGGAGTTCAAGCCCAGCCTGGGCAACATGGTGAAACCCTGACTCTACTAAATACAAAAATTAGCCAAGTGTGGTTGCACAAGCCTGTAATCCCAGCTACTGGGAAGATTGAGGCACAAGGATCACTTGAAACCAGGAAATGGAGGTTGTGCTGAACTGAGATCATACCACTGCACTCCAGTCTGGGTGAGAGTGAGGCTGTCTCAAAAAAAAAAAAAGTTGAATTTGATCCCAGCTCTTTGGAAGACCAAGGTGGACAGATCGCTTGGGCCCAGGAGTTCGAGACCAGACTGGCCAACATGGTGAAACCCTGCCTCTACGAAAAATACAAAAATCAAGCTGGGCATGCTGATGCATGCCTGTAGTCCCAGCTACTTGGGAGGCTGAGGTTGGAGAATCAGTTGAGCCCAGGAGGCATAGGTTGCAGTGAGTCGTTTATGGGCCACTACACTTTAGCCTGGGGGACAGAGTGAGACACTGTCTCAAAAAAATAAAACAAAAAATTGGGCTTGGAGTAAGTTTTCCAGTCCCACTGGTTACTAGCTTCATGACCTTGGACAAGTTATTTAACCAGGTTAAACCTGTTTTTCCTCTTCCATAATATCTATATGGTAAAGGAACCTTCTTGAGGTTGTATGCCAATGAAATGAGATGATCCATACAAAGGGTTTAGCATAGTTCCTCCTGGTCAGAATACAGTAAGCATTAGCTATTGTCACTCCTTTCTGCGAACTGACTCAGTTTTTTCCAGCCTTCAATCTGACATAAGCCCTCTGCTCCAAAAAAACTGAAGTATGCAATACCTTATTTGAATCCTTGCTCCTCAAATGAGAGTAAGAGCATGGCTAAGTTATATAATGTCCTCCTAGTGCTTCACTTTCATTATAGGGTTGTTGTGAGGTATTAATTCAAGTGAAGCACTTATGACATTGCTTGGCATATAGTAAAATCTCAACAAGTATTGATCATTATCCCTGGATATAGGACTGGTTAAATTTATTTATTGTAGTACTTGGCAAATCATAGATGCTTACTATTTATTGACTGAATAACATTTTTATTTTCTCATTGGTATATATTTAGTATTTCCTCAGTTATTAAAGGTATGATTATAGTATTTTTCATCTGATTTTTAAGGCATAAATCTGATTACAGAAATACATTGTGCTGAAAAAGCTTAACTGGGTATGAACTAACTCTTCAAGGCCACAGAAAAGCCCCATTTTATGACCACAGTTTACATACTTCAGGCCAACCAGCTGGGTCCTTAGTTGTTTAAAGGCCAGGGAACAAATCGAAGAGATTCAAAGGGAAGAGAAGGCTCTAACAGTACATACTGGATGGGTGGTATGAATACAATCCACAAACAGAGCATCTTAATTCCCAGTCCACAGGATATATACATATACATTGCAAAAGCTGAACATTGGTCTTTAGCTCCAGGTATTGTATACTAGTTAAGCTCTCATTTTTAAGTAAATCTGGATTAAAAAAACATGCTATCTTGTATTTCCATTCAGGACAGCCAAGAGAAAAATGGATGAACAGAGTTTCTTCGGTGGATTGCTTCATGTGTGCTATGCTCCAGAATTTGAAACAGTTGAAGAAACTAGAAAAAAACTAGCAGTGCGAAAGGCATATGTAGTAAGAACTACTAAAAATAAAGGTATGGAAAGCATATTGCTAAATGCCTCCTGTGTGTCAGGCACTCTGCCAAGTGTGTCATCATGCAGTTCCCAGTCTAGTGGGAAGAGAGGCAAGTAAATCATCACAGTACTCAGTTAAGTGTAAACCTCAGGGTTTTCTGCAGCATACTGTGTAATCTGGGTTGAGAAGGGAGAAATGTTGGTTCACAAAAAACTTACTACAGTCTGTAAGACGTGGCTGAATTTTGAGGGATAAGTAGACATTACTTAGAAGGGAGAGGAAAAGATGGAAAGGCAAGCCAGGCAGGATGTTTAAATGCTTAGGGGAATAAATGAGCATCACGTATTTAAGAAACTTTAACTCACACAATATAATCAAAGCCCAGAGGTTTCAGTGAGAGATAAGTTTAGAATAGTGGATAGGAAGTGAATCATGAAGGGCCTTGTGTCCCATGCTAAGGAATTAAGGCTTTGACCAGAATGCAGTGAGAAGCAGTTGTGATTTGCAGACTAAGTGTCACTGCTAGTCATGGAGAAGTTCTACTTTTGACCAAGTAGCCACGTAAATGCCCCACATGCCCCTTCTACCAGATAGTGGTAGAGAGAAATAAAGTGGGAAAACTCTTGGAAAGCTTACTCAGAAATTTGACAAGAGAGCTGTTGAGAATCCCCAGTCATTTGTAGACATTAACTTGTAAGATACGTAAATAGCACCAGGAAAACCTGTATATTTGTGTGGTAAAGGAAATTATAAAATATAAAAAAATAAAAAATGGAAAGGAAATTATAAAATACTAGTGTGGAGGAAGACCTTTGACATTATCTGACCTGTGTCCTAATTCTTGTTGGTGAGGAAACTAAGTCTCAGAGTTTGTGGCTGGCCTATATTACTAGAGATAAGGACAAAAATAAGGATTAAAACCCAAGCTTTGGACTCTCTGTCCAGAGCTTACTTTTAAACTGCTTTAATCATCTCAGTGTTGGTGGTGGCCTAGCATTATTTTCATTATTTGCTCCCCTTCCCCTTAAGACCTTTTTGCCCTGCCCCCTCAGAATTAGATTCAGTGTTGTTAAACTATGATTTTTTTGGCCTTGAACACTTTAGTTAAGCTCTATTTTATCTGCAGCATTCTAGCATCTACACGTATTTGTATATTTGGTCTTTTCAAAAACTTTTATTAATGAAATTTCAAAACACACAGGTAGAAAAACTAAATGTATTAAAACTAAAAACTCCCATGTATTAACAATCATCAACAGATAGCCAATTTCATCTTTACCACATCTTCCACACCCCACTCATGGTGTAGTCTGCTTTTGGGAAAGTAAACCAGGGAAGAGGCCCTTTCCAGCCCTAGAAGTAGGCCACACATATTGCCATATTGCTTTCTTTAGTAACTAGCAAACACAAGCTAAGCAGCATGATATATCCAGATACTGGGAACCTCTGAAATTGCAAAAAAAAAAAAAAAAATATATATATATATATATATATATATATGCATACATATATAGTATATAATGATAAGGAAAAACTTTATAAGATCTACAGTGAAGTGGAAAATACAGAGGTGCAGAGAAGTACATATTATAGGTTTCCTTTTTTAGTGGGGAGAAAAAGAATGGGAGGAAGAAGGCAGCAAAGTAAGGCATACTGACAGATAAATAAAAAACAATAGTGCTTACTTACGGGGTGAAACCAGGCCATGGAGAGCAAGGAAAGGGTGACACTTGATGCTACATATCTTTTTAAATCCATTTTAGGTTTTAAACCATGTGAATATATTCCCTTCTCAAGAAATAAATTTTTTGGAGTAGAATTTGTTACCATTTTTAAGTGATTTTTAAAATTATATGATTCTGAATGATGCAAACAATAAATGACTTCTGTTTTCCTTTCTCTCACCTTTTAAATGGTAATAAAAAGACCATTATGTGACAAAGAAGAAATTGGTTACAGAGCATAAAGACACAGAGGATTTTAGACAAGACTTCCACTCAGAGATGTCTGGATTTTGTACAGCTGCTCTGAACACTTCTGCAGGGAACTCAAATCCTTATCTTCCATATTCCTGTGAATTGCCTTTATGTTATTTCTCCTCAAAATGTATGTGTTCATCTGGGAAGCATTTAGACAGAACATCAGACTCCTCTAAGGATGGTAGAAACCATGACAAAACAATGGAGCATTATAACCACAATGACTCTTTGCAGAAAACACAGATAAACCCTTTTAAAAAATCAGTGGACTGCCCTGGTGCACGAAAGGCTATTATTCCTTCAGAGGCAGTTGACAGATTTATGCCTAGGACAACACAACTGCAAGAGCGCAAGAGAAGACGAGAAGATGATCGTAAACTTGGAACTTTTCTTGAAACAAACCCAAGTAGTAATGAGGTTATGATTGGACCTCTGTTACCAGACATATCTAAAGTGGATATGCATGATGACTCATTGAATACAACGGCAAATTTAATTCGGAATAAACTTAAAGAGGTAAGGTTATTTAAAAAAAAAAAAAAAAACTAAGAGATGATTTGGTTACAGGATTAAATAAATGGAGAATTATTTGTGGGAACAATAGTAATTTTTTTTTCACCTTTTAGTTTTTTGATGTGTTTTTCTACAGTTCTCTGTTGAAATAACTGAATTTGGCTAACATTTTATTTGCTTTGATACTGTTAATACTTGCTTAAACAATGAACAAACATTTAATGTCATTGTAGATACAAAATATTAAAGCAGTATTTTCAGCCACTTAAATCAATCTGTGAGAGTGGAGCCCAGGCCTGCCATTTTTGTTAAAATCTCCCCAGATAGTTCTAATATGAGCCAGAGTTAAGAAGGAAAAGTATTATAAATTATTTCTCTCAAATTTAGAGTTTTTACAGTTTATATAAATTTCAAAATGCTTCATTTGCTTTTGTGATAAAGAGTAATAGAAGGTGATGAGATTTCTAAAAATTGGGCCTCCAGGTATACATTTCAAATGTAGACTTCTTAAATGATTAGGACCAGATTGTGCTGCCTAGGTAGTTTTTTTTTAAATGTCATTTACATAATTATTTTCCATTTCCTAAGCACAAATAAAGTTAACATTTGAGTTAACTTTTGAAAGACACCTTTTTGTGGGGTGGGAGTGGGGGCTGCTGTTACAAATCATAAACTGAGGGTTATGACATTTTCTTACGCTTACTCCAAGATGCAGAAAGTGCTTTTCACAGTTCTACTATGTTTTACAATGTGATTAAGGGAGGCTAAGGTAGGGCCAGGCGCAGTGGCTCACGCCTATAATCCCAGCACTTTGGGAGGCCGAGGCGGGTGGATCACGACATCAAGAAATCAAGACCATACTGGTCAACATGGTTAAACCCTGTCTCTACTAAATATACAAAAAAATTAGCTGAGCACGGTGGCATGCACCTGTAGTCCCAGCTACTCGGGAGGCTGAGGCAGGAGAATTGCTTGAACCCAGGAGGCAGAGGTTGTGGTGAGCCAAGATCGCACCATTGCACTCCAGCCTGGGTAACAAGAGCAAAACTCCGTCTCAAAGAAAAAAAAAAAAAAAAAAAGGAGGCTAAGGTAGTATAATTTCTTGTATGTACATTTTTTTACCTAAAAATTATTAATTATTACCTGATTAAAGAGGCATTATTTAATAATAATTAAAATCCATGGACACAGTTTTTGTGCTGAAGTCTTCTTTAGTTTTTCAGTTTAGGCTGGGCACAGTGGCTTACACCAATAATCTCAGCACTTTGGGAGGCTGAGGCAAGCAGATTGCTTGAACCCAGGAGTCCAAGACCAGCCTGACCAACATGGTGAAACCCCATCTCTACCAAAAATATATAAAAATTAGCCAGGCATGGTGGTACACTCTTGTAGTCCCAGCTACTTGGGAGGCTGAGGTGGAAGGATCACTTGAGCCTGGGAGACGGAGGTTGCAGTGAGCCAAGATCATGCCACTGCACTTCAGCCTGGGTGACAGTGTGAGACTCTGTCTCAAAAAAAAAAAAAGTTTTTCAGTTTGTGCTATCACCCTTCCTTCAGTTATGGCTGAACTGAGGCATAGACATATGTACACAGCTGTCTCAGCCAGAGCTGATTACATTTTCAAGAAAAACGTGTAAAGTCCAAAATCTAGGTCCTTCTAGAAATAGTAGAACAACAAAAAAGTAATTATTAAATAAAATTTACTATAGTTTCTAATAATTTTTCATTTCAAATGAAGACTCTTACTCTGTTTTGACTTACTGTACGCTTTTTGTACATTCTTTTTCTGATAGTGTGTTTGCTTTTCCTTTTTCACCTAGGAAATTGAGGATTATACTGCTTTCTGCTCATTTCTCTAAACGTTTCATTCCCCCCCAATCTATCAAACATTATCAATGTTTCAAGAATGCAAAACCAGGATCTCTATCTGTATCTGTAAAATAACAAGTGACTTTAGATCTATAAAGGAATGTTAAAGTAGAGCGTATGTTCACTTTTCTTCCTCCAATTTCTTTTTTCTTTTTAAATAGCTTTAGAAATTTAATGGAAAACTTCACTCTGTGCCTAGATCATAGGCTGTACCTTGAACTTAGGCCAACTCTGCCTAAGTGATGTCAAGGATTAAACTATTGGATATAATCTTACCTCTTCTAATAGCTTATTTACTCATGCACTATAGAAACTAAGTTTTAATGGTTTTTTTTCTTTAATTAGGTAATTTCATCTGTGCCAAAACTTCCAGAGGACAAGTCAAAAGATATGCATACAAGTCATCCACTAAAACAAAGAAGAAGAATATAGAGTACCAGCAGCAAATTAGTATTTTCTGGAAAGAGCATTTATTTTTTATTTTTAGCCTGTCATTTTAATTCTTCAAGAGATTTTACTGCTGGTATTTTTTAATGCACTCTTCTTTGTAATTTCATTCAAGCTATTTATCTCAGGTCATTTCTTCTTTTTTTGATCCATACTTAATGTTGCAAACTATTCTTGTCATTATAACATTACCTCTCATGTGCAGTAATTATATGTAAATTAACTGAAGCAAATATGGAAACTTTACAATATAAATAAAAATAGGCAACCAGGATCTGTTTCTAATTATAATACAATTATTGAATGAGTCATTGAAACATTAGAAGTCAGGATGTTTCCGAATGCCAGGGTTTCAAAATCAAGACAATTCTGTGAAGTAAAAAGTAGATTAACTATTAGAACAAAGCTGAAATTAGAAGCTTACATGCTTTAGTTAACTTTTAAGAAGAATTTGCTTGACCTGTGGCAATACAAAAATAAATCAGTATTTGTAAATTCTAGACTTCTGTTACTACTTGTGGCATATCCACACTTTTTCCTGTCAGTGGATCACATAATTGGAAATTTCAGTACATCCAGGCTCTCTATTTTTCTTTTTTTATTTTTAGTAGAGACAAGGTCTCACTGTGTTACCCAGGCAGGTACTGAACTCCTGGGCTCAAGTGATCCACCCACCTTGGCCTCCCAAAGTACTGGGATTGCAGGCCTGACACGCTGCACCTGGCCATTTTCTTTACTGATAAAAATAACTTGAGAGGGTCCATACCATGGTGTGTTGTTTTCATTTCTCCCTATCTTTAATGGCCTCCTGCCTAGTAGATTGAATTTGAGCATATCAGTTAATAAGGTTCCATTTCAGCTATGATGTACTGATCTAAATTTCCTAGGATGGCTCTAAGTGGAAAATGGTACTAACAGCAAGCTGCAGATAAGGAGGGTAGGCCCTACCTCCATGTGAGGTAATTAGATACAGTTTTTGCTGAAATCTCAAGGTAAAGGATATATTAGACATCTAGGCATAGAATTGGAAGAGCAAATTGCTGTCTGCTTAGGCTTCTCAGACTATAAATAAGCTGTATGATCTCTTACCTCAGCATCTTGTTAAAATGCAGATTCTAGTGGTGGTGGCCAGGGGTTGTGGGGATGGAAAATGAGGAGTTATTATTTAGTAGGTACAGAATTTCAGTTTTGGAAGATGAAAAGACCTCTACAGATTTGTTGCATGACAAAAGTTATCTGACACTTAAGGAGAGGAGCTGCTAAATGGATCCATGTGCTTCTGAATGGGTTCCTGATAAGTCTTGTGACCTTGTGTAAGTCAGCACTCCTCAACACCACCAACATAATTAATCATGAGGAGAGAAAGAAAAGAAACCTTTGTGGTGTCAAGCAGCAAAACAAAAAGATTCAAGTTCAGTTGGTTTTGGGTAGGGCTTGGGATTCTGCATTTTTCCCAAGTTCCTAGGTGCTGCTAGTGTTCCTGGTGCACAGACCATGCTTTGAATAGTAAAGCTCTAGATAACTGGGCTACACATGAACTCTGGGAGCAGCTGAAGAACTGTCGGCTGTTCCATCCTAAGTTGTTACTCCCATCTAGTCCATTATGCTATATACTGTTTTCACCTATCTCTTTTCAGATTGGAAGCCTGCCTTTTCTACATTGCTTTTTCCCACATTTCCAGAAAGTTAAAATGTGGGGTAGAGGGAATAAACCACAGGGGGACAAATAGAGAGATGAGAGGGATAAGAATAGCTTAATAACATGTAAGTTAATTTACAAAATTTCCATATAGTTTATTATTTCAGGCATGGTGGCTCATGCCTGTAATCCCAGCACTTTGGGAGGTCAAGGTGGGAGGATTACTTGAGGTCAAGCGTTTGAGACCAGCCTGGCCAACATGACGAAAACCCCATCTCTATAAAAAATACAAAAAGTAGCCAGGCGTGATGGTAAATGCCTATAATCCCAGCTACTCAAGAAGCTGAGGCATGAGAATCGCTTGAACCCAGGAGGCAGAGGTCGCAGTGAGCTGAGATTGCACCACTGCATTCCAGTATGGGCAACAGAGACTCTGTCTCAAAAAAGGAAAAAAAAGTGTTTTTGTATACCAGTGGTTGAAAAGTACAGTTGATAAAGGAAGAATATGTAAGGCCAAATCAATTATTAGACTGACAATTATTAGACTGACACTTGCAGCTCAGAAAACTTTTGTCAGATGCATACATGAAAAACCTTCATAAGCACAAAGTACTCTATGTCTCCAAAATTTTAAAAACATTGACAGCAATTGGGTTGAAAGGGATCAAGTGTTCTAGTAGTTTGTGGTATACTTGCTGAAACTCTTCATTCAGTGTTCTATCCCTTAAGCCAATATACCCTAGATTTGGTTTGAGAAATACACCGAACTTATAGGAAACAGGAATTGTGTGTTGCTAAAGAGGTTAAAAGCTCAATGAAAATCTTGAATATAGTTACTGAAATAATCATGAATGTCTTCTTGGGGCCCAAATGCCAGGATGGGGCTGAACTCTCAATGATTGCCTTAATTTCAGCAGTGGGCTGCAGCCCAACAGAGGAGAGTGTCTAGCAAGTATTACTTTCTGACCCTTTAAAATTTTTCCTGAATCTATTTGGGCTGTTGGCACTAGTAACTATACCTTTGCTTCTGGTAAACATGGTCCAAATACCTCCAACAGAAGTCTGTCTTCTCTTACTGCTTTTTCAAAGTCTGCAAGAGATATCTTGCCATCATTGTCATAATCCTAGAGAGAGAGAAGATATTTCTTGATAAATGCTTGTTTTAAATTTTGCATGGAAAATAGCTCTCTAGGCTAAACAAATTTTACCAAGTAAAAGTTGTCACACTTCTGTAGACTCTCTACATAAATCAAAAATTATTGCGGCCGGGCGCGGTGGCTCATGCCTGTAATCCCAGCACTTTGGGAGGCCGAGGCGGGTGGCTCATGAAGTCAAAGAGATCGAGACCATCCTGGTCAACATGGTGAAACCTCGTCTCTACTAAAAATATAAAAAATTACCTGGGCATGGTGGCGTGTGCCTGTAATTCCAGCTACTCAGGAGGCTGAGGCAGGAGAATTGCTTGAACCCAGGAGGCGGAGGTTGCGGTGAGCCGAGATTGCGCCATTGCACTCCAGCCTGGGTAACAAGAGCGAAACTCTGTCTCAAAAAAAAAAAAAAAAAAAAAAAAAAAATTTGCAGAGTCCCCTTATTTTATTTTTATTATTCTAACAGGCATACCTGAGTTACTTTAAATATATAAAATGTAGCCCTGCTCCTAAAACACTTACACTCTAATTGGAGAAATAAGATAAAAATTAGGGGAAGTTCATTATTATTATTATTTTTTTAAATCTAGCACCGATTAAACATCTCAGGAGGGAAGTTCATTATTATATGGCTATTTTATGATAAAAATAAGTACAATAGGGTAATGATTTTCAAGCTTATTTTTTTGTAGAATTTGCTCCACAAAGGATCTCTTACTTGGGAGCCCACCAGGTAAAAGGGTAACAGTGAAGTTGCTCTGTTAAGGAGCAAGGCACTGGGAGTTATTATGGCAGTAACAGTTCTGAAGAAGACTTGGAGACCACTACTGAACCTTTAAGGATGGTTGGGATCTGGGTAGGTAGAGAGGTATGAGGAGGAAGTGCAGAAGAGTGGCCCACCTGAATTAAGACAGCAAATGAGTATAAATTAAGAAGACAAAGCTGCCTGGAGTGAAGCATTCATGACAGGGATCATGAGCAATTAAGTATGTTGTACAGGAGTAGGGAGTAAACACAGCATGTGTAGAGATTATGAATGCCTTTAAGCGCTTAATTGAATTGGTTTCAACAGGTTCTTGTTTTTTCACTTACGGGCATAATTACATCAGGGCTGCTGAGAGTTTAACCTACAGAAAAACTTAAGTAATTGTAAAAATTTACTCCATTAATTTTCTTTCAAAGGAGAGGTCCTAGCTAGCAATTAGAGAAGAGAGAAATAAAGGTGATCTAAATTAGAAAGGAAGAAATCAAATTATCCTTGTTTGTAAATGATATAACCTTACATTTGGAAAAACCTAAAGACTACACCAAAAACACTAGAACTGACAAATTCAGTAATGCTGTGGTATACAAAATCAACATAGCAAAAATCAGTAGTATTTCTATATGTCAACATTCTGAAAAAGAAGAAAAGTAATCGCATTTACAATAGGTATACATAAAATTAAATTTCTAGGAATTAACCTAAGAAATAAAAGAGTTCTACAGTGAAAACTCTAAGATACTAATGAAAGAAATTGAAGAGGAAACCCAAAAAAATGAAAAGATATTCCATGTTCATGAACTGGAAGAATCAATATTGTTAAAATGTCCATACTACCCAAAGCAATCTACAAATTCAATGTAATCTTCACAGAAATAGAAAAAACAATGCTAAAATTGATATGGAACCACAAAAGACCCAGAATAACCAAAGCTATCCTGAACAAAAAGAAGTGGTGGAATCATGTTACCTAACTTCAAATTATACTACAGTGCTACAGTAACCAAAACAGCATGGTACTGGCATAAAAATACACACATAGAGCAATGGAACACAATAGAGAACTCACAAACAAATCCTTACATCTACAGTGAACTCATTTTTGGCAAAGGTATCAAGAACATGTTAGGGAAAATACAGTCTCTTCAGTAAAGGGTGCTGGGAAAACTAGACATCCATATGCAAAAGAATGAAACTAGACCCCTACCTCTTACCATATACAAAAATTAAGTCAAAATGGATTAAAAGACATAAATGTAAGACCTCAAACTATGAAATGACTACAAGAAAACATCAGAGAAACTCTCCAGGACATTGGTTGGTCTGGCTGAAGATTTCTCACAAGCACAGGCAACCAAAGCGAAAGTGGACAAACTGGATCACATCAAGTTAAAAAACTTCTGCACAGCAAATCAACAAAGTGAAGAGAAAACCCATAGAATGGGAGAAAATATTAATATTTGCAAACTATCCATCTGACAAGGGATTAATAACCAGAATATATAAGGAGTTCAAACAACTCTACAGGAAAGAAATATAATAATAAAATTTAAAAATGGGCAGAAGACCTAACATTTCTCAAAAGAAAATGTAGAAATGTCAAACAGGTATATGAAATGGTACTCAACATTCATGGATCATCAGAGAAATGCAAATCAAAACTACAATGAGATATCATTTCACACCAATTAAAATGGCTTATATCCCAAAATCAGGGAATAACAAATGCTACCAGGGATGTGGAGAAAAAGGAACCTTCGTAAACTGTAGGTGGGAAGTTAAATTAGTACAACAACCATGGAGAACAGTTTGGAGGTTCCTCAAAACTGGACATGGTGGCTCACATCAAACCTAGCAATTTTGGAGGTAGAGGCAGGAGGATCGCTTGAATCTAGAAGTTCAAGACCAGCCTGGACAACATAGTAAGATTCTGTCTCTAAAAAAAGAAATTTAAAAAATTAGCTGGGTATGGTGGCACATGCCTGTAGTCCCAGCTGCTTGAAAGGCTGAGGCAGCAGGACTGCTTGAGCACAGGAGGTCAAGACTGCAGTGAGTTGTGATCATGCCACTGCACTCTAGCCTAGGTGACAGAGTGAGACCTTGTCTCAAAAAACTAACTAAAAATAGAGCTACCATATGATCCACCAATCCCATTGCCTGGTATGTATCTAAAAGAAATCAGGATATTGAAGAGACAGCTGCACTCTCATGCTTATTGCAGTATCACTCACAATAGCCAAGACTTTTAGGAAACAATGTGCCTCTCAACAGGTGAATGGATTAAAAAAAAAAAAATGTGGCTGGGTGTGGTGGCTCAACCCTGTAATCCCAGCACTTTGGGAGGCTGAGGTGGGCAGATCACCTGAGGTCAAAAGTTCGAGACCAGACTGGCCAACATGGTAAAACCCCAACTCTACTAAAAAAAACCCCCAAAATTAGCTGGGTATGGTAGAGGGTGCCTGTAATCCCAGCTACTCAGGAGGCTGAGGCAGGAGAACTGCTTGAACCGGGGAGGCAGAGGCTGCCTTGAGCCAAGATCATGCCACCTGGGCAACAAGAGCAAAACTCAGTCTCAGAAAAAAAAAAAGTGGTACACATATATAATGGAGTACTATTCAGCCATGAAAAAGAATGAGATCCTGTTGTTTGCAACAACATGGATGGAACTATAAGCCATTATGTTAAGTGAAATAAGCCAGACACAGAAAGAGAAACTTCACGTGTTCTCACTTATTTGTGGGAGTTAAAATTAAAACAATTGTGCTCATGGACACAGAGAGTAGAATGATGGTTACCAGAGGCTGGAAAGGGTAGTAGAGGTGTGTGCGTGTGTCTGTGTGTGTGTGGGGGGAATGGTTAATAGGTACAAAAACGGGAAGAATGAAGAGGACCTAGTATTTGATAGCACAACAGGGTGACCATAGTCAATAATCATTTCATTGTACATTTAAAAATAACTAAAAGAGGCAGGCACAGTGGCTCACACCTGTAATCCTAGCACTTTGGAAGGTCAAGGTGGATGGATCACTTGTGGTCAGAAGTTCGAGACCAGCCTGGCCAACATGATGAAACACTATCTCTACTAAAAATACAAAAATAAAGCTGGACATATAATTTTTGGCACCTGTAATCCCAACTACTAGGGAGGCTGAGGCAAGAGAATCCCTTGAACCTGGGAGGCGGAGATTGCAGTGAGCCAGATGGCCCCATTGCACTCCAGCCTGGGCAACAGAGGGACACTACTTCTCAAAAAGAGAAAAAACATAGTATTAATAATAACTAAAAGAGTATAATTGGATTGTTTGTAACACAAAGGATAAATGCTTGAGAGAATGGATACCCCATTTACCATGATGTGATTATTATGCATTACATGCCTATATCAAAGTATCTCATATACCCCATAAATATATACACCTACTACGTACCCAGAAAAATTAAAAATAAAAAATAAATTGATATCCAAAAAAGGGTGTGTGTAGTATAGGGAGCATACTGTCTCTCAAGAATGAATCCACCCTCAGCCTTAACAGGCCGAGTGACTGTACTTCCAAAAGAGGACACTTTGGAGACTGCATTAGCTAGATCTGAGACTCTAAAACCTCCCACTATCTATCTGTTTCTTTCCTGAACTCCAAGGTAATATAGGTGAACTGGGCCTGGGCTGCCTTAGATTCACAAAACCTCACTGGTAACCAGCTTAAGATCAAAGAATAGGGTAGAAATCACCATGACCATAGTAAAATAATTACCTTAAACTTTTTTTTTTTTTTTTAGACAGAGTCTCATTCTGTCACCCAGGCTGGAGTGCAGTAGCATTACCCCGGCTCATTGCAACCTCCATTTCCTGGGTTCAAGCTGGGATTACAGGTGCACACCACCATGCCTGGCTAATTTTTATATTTTCGATAGAGATGGGGTTTCACCATGTTGGCCAGGCTGGTCGTGAACTCCTAACCTCAAGTGATCTGCCCATCTCAGCCTTCCAAAGTGCTGGGATAACAGGCATGAGCCACTGCACTCAGCCAAGAATTACCTTGGGTTTTATTGAGAGATGAATTATGCACCTCATTTTCTAGGGTTACCATCTGGAGCAGCCACTGCAAAGGTGCCAACTGCAGCAAGGAGGCATGGCTGGGGCTATGCACTCCATGTAGCAGGTAGGAGCCCCACCCTCTTGGACACAGCTGTAGCCACTCAAGCCACAGCTGCAGATCCAGGCATCTCTGCACTCTTGGGGACTGGGAAGGGCCCCCTTCCCTCCACAGGCTTGGAGATAACTGCTCCTGGTGCCTACTCTGCAGGCTTGTGAGTGACTGCTGCCACTTCCTGGACTCTCTCTGCTGACTTGGTCCTCTGGACTTTGGACATTAACTAGCATTGGAGGGAGGCTGAGGGGGTGCTGAAGGCAGCTCAGGGCTGGCTTGTAGGCACCCCTTGGCACAAACAACCTGGGCACCATGAACAGCAGCAGGAAGCAGACCGGCTCTGGGGTAAAAAGGGGCAGGTCCCCAAT